TTGGCCACATCACTGAGATTTAACAGTATCTTCAGAAGGCATTTGAGACCAGTGCTGGTACCACAGCTTGTGTGAAACAGCACTCTGAACCGTTACCTCTCCATGCTGGGGTTAGAAATTGCACGTGGTGAGCTCCGTTTGGCTAACTCAGGTTGGAGTAACGGTGGGAATGGTTTATCCTGAGGAACTAAGGACCATGGGAGAATCTGAACTCGAATATGGTGATTCAAACCAAGCCAGCTTGTTTTGATTTCTGCTTTAACCCCAGTTAACATGACGAGCATACTGGGGCTACGGCCCACGACTACCATGGCCTACCACTTGCTGAACTGGCGAAACCATTACTGGGCCGCGTTACGTATACGTGCGAGCTCAGTTCAGTGTCGTCTCAAGCTCTGTGAAATATCAAGTCAAGATAATGCCATTCTTCTCTTATCGTTTCAGTTTTTCAGTCTGCCTTTAGCACCTGAGGCTTGCCTGGGGGTCGCTTTATCTCAGTGGCTGCTTTACTCATCCGGACGCTGACGCCTGCTGCAACTACTGAGCTCACGCTGCCGAACTGTTCGCAGCGGTCGCTAGAGCCTGGTGCCCCGACATCTTACAGCACCAGCACAAAGTTGTCTCTCTGGGGTGAAGGATGGGGCCCAAGGCCCGCCTTGCTTTCAGTATCAAGTTTAGAGTCGTTGCTCTTTAAGAGCAAGGGATGAGGATGGGAACGGGACGGGTGGAAGGAGCAAAGTCCAACTAAGCCTCACTTTGGTGATAAGTGAGCTGCTGTGATTGATATAGGAAAAAGGGTGGGAAGCCACGGGGAATTTAAAGAAGAAAAGCCTGAAGAACAGATTTCTTTGCAATGTGGGAAGGCTGGCAGTAAGTCATAGTAACAGTAACTATGAAAGACTTGGCTATTTCAGTTCTGCTGACTGCTTTATTATGAACAAGCTGTTAGCACAGTCCATCTTAAGGCTGTAGAAGTACTTCCAGTGTATAAAACCCCATCTGAAGGCCAAGAAAGTCACAATGAACCGGCTGAGACTAAAATTTCCCAAGTTGAGGTTGTGCCTCAGGCTAAATTTGTTTAGGAACGTTCAGCCAAAAATTCTTTAATCCCTTTCTAATGGCTGACATTGTTCTTAGAAATCCATTGTTTGTCTGACCTTCTCCTAACCCGTTAGAAAAATTTCTGGCGGTATTTTCCTTTCTCAGTTTAACGCTTTGAAGCATTACATGCAAAATTTGGCAGGAGGCAGCTTTCTGTTAGGAAGACACATTGCACCAGCTCTCTAAAACTGTGCTCAAACTTGGCCATGTTACAAGCACTTGAAATCCCAGTTTGCGTGCTCTTGATAGAGTTCTCAGTTTTTCAGCTAAAATTCCCCAGAGACGTCTGAAAGGAGCAGGTGGTGGTTATTGCCGGCTGCTGGAGGCTGGCAAGGGTGAATGACAAGTGTGAAGTTCGTCTCCTCCACATTCCCCTTGCCCCCTTCCAGCACTGAAACGGTCGGGAGGAGAGGCTGTCCGAGTGAAGGCAAAACAGGCAAAAGATAGATGGTGGGCTGAAAAAAGGAGGTGAAGGAAGGACCAAGAAAGTCTGAGACTGGGTAGGAGACCATGTTTTCTGGGCTCAGAAGAGGTGACCGAAGAGGAAAGTTTTTCTGGGGTCTTCACCCGCCCCAGCTCTGCTGTAGCCTGGGGGAGGGACTGCCAGGGAATGAGAGCATCAGGCTTCACCGTGACCATTTGTCCTGTTCCAAGAGGCTCTGCTCCTCCGGAATGAAACACTGCTGAGGTTTGGATCCATCTAATGGTGTTAGGGGGAAAGCAGTCAGCCTGCTGGGATTAGGAGGAAAAATTTCTGAAAGCTCAAGGAAATATTCATGTTATGTGATCAGTGTGTCCTGGCTGGCTCCAGTACTGAAGCAAAGAGGGAGAGAAGGAAGAGTGTTTCTTTGGCCACCGCAAGATTTTCACCGCATCTCTTGCAAAGGAATGAGTATGTGATGCTGGGTAATTACTGAAACAGCAGTTTTCATAAAGAAGTGCTGATCTGCGACCTTCATGTCCGGGGTGTCAAACCTGTGAGCCTGCAGGACGACCTGCAGAAGCCGCTTGCAGCCCCAGCCCGGAGCTGGGCACGGCCCTGGACAGCTGTGTGTGGCAACTTCTAGGCTTTTCCTATTAGGCGCCAACACTTAGAAGGTATTTGGATTTACGTTTCCATTTTCCCCAGTGGTGGCCCCTCAGAGGGATGCTGTGAGTACAAAAGACTGCCTGCTCCGAACCCATGCGGTCACTGATGACCACTGTGGCAAAGCCCAACTAAAACACCATTATGGGCAGGGTGTGAACAGCAGGTGGCAAAATAGGCTCTGAAGCCAAATACTATAATTAAAACAGGATTAGTAAATGATCATCATCTATCCTGTGCACTGAATGAAGGAAGGGTCCTTCAGAAAGGAAAAATAGCATGAGATTGTAATTAAAGATGATCTTATGGACTACATGGACAAAAAGGCTCAGTTAAAATTGTGCAGGGAACTCCTGCATTACCTTACTTCTGGATGCTTCATTCTGCAATATTAATAAGGTTTTTCTTAAAGCTGCCTTTCTGACTGTGTTGCAGGTTATCCAGTGAAAAAATGGTGATGTCTGCATGCAACTTCTGTAACTTCACGTAGCGCGTCTCTTAATTGACTGTGCACAGTCAAAGACATGCACTCAGCACAGCGGGGCTGCAGCTAGCTAAAATTAATATGTATGGATTTGGAGGGGTTTTTTCCCTGACTTGGAAATCGCTCAAAATATTACTTTATTGAAAAGAAATGCAAATTAACATCTTTCATTCTTCAGGAGGATAATTACCCTTTTCTCTTTCTCTCTCTCAGAAAGAGATTTGTTGTCTATTGTTTCTTTGTTTGCTTTGAAAACTGTTCTTTTGAAATTACCTAAGCTATAACACTTGTTCGACTCCTTTGCAGGAATGGCAGTCCATGCTACTAGCCAAATGTGGAGGAGCTGTCTACTTTGCAGCCTGAAGGGGGTAGAGGAAAAGATCATTTACCCAGACACCTTTTGGAAAGGTGTAAACTGGAGGGTAGTGGTGGTGTAGTATTTTTTTTTTTTCTTAAGCTGGTGCCTTTTTCAGTTTGCAGCTTTGTCGCCTTATGTCAAGGCCAAGCCACAGGAAGAAGAATGGCTGGAGAGTTACTCTTCTGATGGCCTTCCAGGGTGATGTTCATTAAAAGTAAATCCACTCTCCAAATCCCAATCAACCATCCTTCTTACAGCCTGGAGGTGAGTGATGGGAGTCCAAACAGCCTGCTGACTTCTTGCAGGATTTACTATTTCACAGTCTCATGGTTGCTGCAGGAAAACTTACCCTTGACCACTGTGTCCTGGGCCAATTCTTCCTTTTTGTGAATAGCAAACTCAGCAGAGCATCCCCCCTAGTTGTTTCATCAATCGCCCGTGACAAGAAATTCTCTTCAGCACACTCCAGAAACCACCTGGATTGTGCCCAATCACACAGCCCTTCCAGTTAAAGAATATCCACGAGTCCTGTGGCCTGGGACTGTGTGAGATGGCTCCATTGACTTGCTCTCCTCGATCAGCTCGTCTGTAGTGAGTGCCCAGCACAACACTGCCCGTGTTGCTTTGCTGCCTTCTCCTTGCCCACAAGACTTGACTGGCTCATCACCTCTCCCGTGGCCAAGCTCTGGGCACTCCTCTGCATGAAGCACCACCACTCCTCACCCTTCCCAGCCCGTCTTTACTGAAGGGCCTATGTCCATCTGCGGCAGCTCTCCAGTCGTATGAACTATCCTGCCACGTCTCCGTAATCCAAAAGAAATCATAATTCCACAGTTAGGTGGGGGCTGGTGACTCCCCCAGTTGTTTCCCATGCTGCGTATGTCTGTTTACAGATAGTTGGGGTGAACCCCGAGGCACGATGCTTTCAGCAGGGACGTGCAGGCCCGTGCTGTAGAGAGGCCAGTGAGGGAACCTCTGCACGCAGAGCCCGAGCGTTTCGGTGCCCCTTTGGGCCAGGGGCGTTTCGAGACCCCGGCTGCACGCCAGAGCTGACTGCACGGCCTCTGCAGGTGCATCACTTTGCCGTCTGAGCTCTCCATCACCGTTGCAGCAATTGCTCCATTAGGAGCTTTTCTCTGATCACGCTGAGATAACAGATCAAACGGTGATGGGTTTACTGCTTCTTTTTAGCTAGAACTAACTGTCGTAAGAGCGATCTTTATTGATCTCCGATGGCAGAGATGCCAGGAGCACGTAGCTGTGCTGCTGTAGGAAATACTTTGACTATCTCCATAATTGTGTTTGCGTTACTGCTGCCCCAAAGGCTGGAAATATGAGGCTCCTTGCAATACATGTGCTTTCTCCCTTGTAGCTGAGCTGTATGCTACAAAAATCAAGGTCATCGTGCTGATTGACATTTGGAGTTGGATAAAGATCGTTATTCCCAGAAACATAAATGATTTTTAAAGACTCAGGTCACTGTTTTAGGCTAATTTCTGTGACAAGTGCCTTCTGTAGGGGAAAGTTTGACCTAACCTGCGCTTTCTCAAAGGCCAATGGAACAAATCCTCGGCCCTGCAAACAGAAACCTGGATGACCTGTGTTAGGAGCTGCTTCTCCCTTGACTTGTCTGTACAAACAAGAAGGCAACACAGCTTTAAACAGCCTCTTTCAAAATCACCCCACGAGAATGCAGCAATGGGTTGCTTGTTGTGAACTGCAAACCCACCTTGGCGGTGGGACAGGGCACCCAAACACCTGGATGTCGCCCGGCCCTGCCCCATGGAGGGCACCACTGCAGGAGCTGCCACCAGCAGGCAGGGACAAAGAAGCCTCTGAGCTCTGGCTTTGGTGGAGGAGGAGGAAGAGGAGGGATGACCCTCATCACCACTCCCCCAAGGCTGAGCTGAGCACAGGAGGAGCTTTGGGTTTGAGCCAAGTCACACATTCAGAGGCCAGCAACTGCAGGGAGAGAGAGGCAGGGAGACAGAAAAAGAGTGTGGGGAAGGTGAGAAAGCAAGAAGAGGGCAACTGCTTGGGGAAGAAAGAGAGAAGAGGAAAGAAGAAGAAGAGAAGAAGAAGAAGAAGAGGAAAAGAAGAGGAGAAAAGAACCAAAAGGAGGCAGAAACAGTCTTAAGTCAAAAGAGGAAGGCCAAGGAGCAGACAGGCTACGAAATGGCATTGCTCCTGTGGCTGGGGTCCCAGCTGTCATCCTGCTGGAGCAACATCTCTATACTAGGAGTTTTTCTTACAGTCTTTGCTTTAGTTTTTGACTTCATGAAGCGCAGGAAGAAGTGGAGCCATTACCCGCCGGGCCCGGTGTCGCTGCCGTTCATTGGGACCATGCTGTATGTTGACTACCGCAACCCCCACCTCTCCTTCAACCAGGTGAGTGCCAGCCCCCACCACGAAGTGCCCCTCGCACAAACGCAGCCCCAGGAAGGGTGGGGACGCCCTGGCACAATCCGCCCTTGCACAAAGCCAAAGGGCAATGCCCCCTCCAAAGTCCAGGATGAAGCAAGTCACTGCCTAAGGACACTGACCTGGCTCATGCAAATAAATAGATAATCACACACCAGGACTCGCCGGCCTCCATCTCCCAGTCTCTGCGTGAGCTCAGTGAGAGATGCTGTCGTGCCCTCAGTGATGGGTGATGCTCGCTCTGCTGCAGAGCTGGCCACCAACTTCACACCTGGGCACAGGCGTAGGGGCAAGGCAACAGGGAGATGTACAAACAAGGGAAGACAAGCATGTACCTGTGGGCTGGGGATATGGCTGCAGGAATGTCAGATTCCCCGTGAGTTACTTAAGCACATCTACAGGCATGTGACAGTTTCAGTTAAAGGGATCAGCTTGCAGGATTCGCCCCAGCAGCGTTGCCCAGAATCTCGGTAGTGTTCCTATTCAAAGTTAGGGCTTAGCTTTTCTCAAAGGAAAAGCACAGCACAGCTTGCAGCAGATAAACCACAGGGGGTTTGTGCTTCACTCTGCAAACTCTACAGGCCTTTTCTCTAGGACAGCCGTGTTCAGCTGTCTGTCCAAAATCTGCCAAATGGAGAAACTAAATATAGCATTCATATTATTTGCTTGCATATAGTCCAAAAGATTACTATTTTTAAATCACATCACATCAGGGTCATGCTAACCACAATCTTGACCAGTAATCACTTTTAATGATGCATTACTAGTGCCAGTGAAGTGCTAATTCCCTTTCCAACCCCACTGCAAATACAGTCTTAAGTACTTCAATTCCTTGCATTGGTACAGGACAGAAATAAAGACACTTAGGTTTTTAACAACAGAAAAAATAAGATGTCAGGAAACAGAAAAAGAAAACAGAGCAGTCTGTGAGGCATTGCTACTATTGCACTGTCTTCCAACAACGTGCTCCCGGGCACTTTGTTCAGTGTTACGGATTAGCAGGGAGCTTCGACCTGCCTTCCCAAGAGTCTGTGTCCAGTCAAAGGGCTTGTCTACCTGGAGGAGACGTAGCTCCATGTCAGGCTCCCATGGTGAGTGTGTGGCTGACAGGCTTAGCTGTGCAGCCATCCTGCTGTCAGTGTTACGTCTCTTATAGATCACAACAGACATAGGGTGTGTGCCAGTTACCACTCTTACTAGATGTGTATGTTCCTTTTAGGGAGAAAGTTGACCTGCAACTCCAGTGTGGAATTGCTTCTACCAACCATGTTTCTGGGAACTGGAATCTGGGTAGATCTTTAGGAACAAATTCATATTAAAAAAGTAAAAAACAAAACAAAAAAAATTACACATTACCTTATCATCAGTATCTCCTTCTAGCAGAAGTAGACTAACTCGAAACTTGCCTAGTCCTTTAGATCAAAATAAACACAAGTATTAGGAAATAATTTGTTGTTGAGCATGCAGCCCTTGAAAATCCCCCAAAAGGTCCTTGACATTGTGTTGTCAGACAAAATCCAAAATACCTGTACAATTGGCCAGGATAGGTGTATTCAAAATCTTTCTACTCACAGAGCACTGATCCCTGCTTCAGCTGCTGTTTGGCACTGCTCTGAGCTGCTGCACTGCAAAGACAACGGTCAAAGATCAGCTGAAGGTCTCCTAATAAAAGCACCTCAAAAATCACTAAATAGGAAAGGCCCTAAGGAAGGGTATGGCGATGTTTCTGATGTTACATTGAGCCCATTTTCAGGGACGTGCTTTTTTATCTTGGCAGCTTCGCAAGAAGTTTGGAAACGTCTTCAACCTCCAGAACTGCTGGACCAACCTGGTAGTACTGAACGGGTATAAAACAGTGAAGGAAGCCCTAGTCCACAAAGCAGAGGACTTTGCTGACCGGCCGTATCTTCCAATATATGAACATGTGGGCTACGGGAGTAAATCTGAAGGCAAGTCCCTTGGAAACGGACATTCCCTGCTGGTACTAGCACGAGGAGAACTGGGTAGATGGTGGGTAGATGGAAGACCTTCTCAGTATGGTGCCACCTTCTCACGTCCCTCTGTTCTATCTCCTTGTATGTCTACCACCCTTGGTGGTGACAAAATCAGATATTTTAAAAAGGGGGCCCCCCTTAGTGGCTGTAGTACAGCTCCGGGTGCCAGCACATACCTCTTCAGCAGTGTTAGGACACTAACTGGTACAACTTTCCTGCCAGCATTGGAGCTGGTACCTCCTGACACCCAGTGATTAGTGCTTACGTTTACACACTATGGGCATGTGGTCATCATCACACAAAAAATGGTAACTTTCTTCTGAGACAGAGTATTAGCCAGCACCCAGCATACATCTCTCATCCTCAGCTCCTGTGCGGTGGCACAAGCTGCTACCCAGTTCACATAAGCTAAGGGTGTAACGCTGAAAGGTTTGGGAGAACGATTCCTTCATCTTCAGCAGCACTTGCTGCTCATTGAATCCCCTCTCCACCTTCGCTAGCCATGCATGTGCGTTAGAAGGCACAATAATCCATTTTTAGAATTGCTGCATGAAGAAGCTGTACAAGATCAGACTCTTTCATCTATTCACACAGACCTGTACCTCCAAACTCACATTTGCTATTCTCTCAGAGCTCCTGACATTTCTTGTTCATCCATTATTCCAGGGATTGTTATAGCAAGATATGGACACGCCTGGAAGGAGCTAAGAAAATTCACACTCTCTACCTTGAGGAACTTTGGGATGGGAAAGAAGTCCTTGGAGGAGCGAGTGATGGAGGAAGCGAGATTTCTGTGCTCTGCAGTGAATTCTGAAGAAGGTTTGTCACATCCCGAAGGATATGGGAAAATCATAGAAAAAGGCAATACAGTGATGCAGAGAGAGAAGGAACACTACAGCCACTCTCATTTGCATGCAGTGCTCTCTTCCTAAGCAGATGCAGTGGTTTTAGTCTACGTGCGTTGGCGACCCTGCTCTACCTTGAAGGCACTTTACACAGTGGGGCTACTGTAACACTAATCCATTTGAAACAGGAAAGAAATAGAAAATAAGTAGAGGTAAAGAGGTAAAATATAATTATTCCCAGAGCTGGGTAACTACTACCTTTATGAATTGTAGTGGCACATATTGATATTATCACATGCAATGAAAGTGCAGCTGAGAGGTTTCACATCACGCTGCCCATCATCTAGACACAAAGCAAACTGTTACCTGTCAGTCACAGAACAACTCAGCTTTTCTTAGGAGTGTTCCCTTTTACACAAAGATCAAACAAATAGTAGTAGGAGATGAGAAGACCTTCACTTCCTAGTATGATGTATTTGTAGTTCGAGTGGTTTGGGGGCTTTTTCTCTTGAAGGCATCAAGGAGGCATTTGTGTATTCTCGTTGCTGACAGCTGAGGTCCAACAGCTTGGTGTAGCTTAGCTTCATTACTTGGTCTCCATTTCCAATTTTAGGTCGTCCTTTCGATTTACGTTTTCTTGTAAATAATGCAGTCTGCAACGTGATCTGCACCACTATCTATGGGGAGCGTTTTGACTATGGTGATGAAACATTCAAAAAGCTGTTACATTTGTTTGAAAACTCCCTGAAAGAAGAAGCTGGATTCCTGACTCAGGTAAACCAAGACCATAATATATTCTGTAAGCAGCTGCCCTCTGTTGCTTGAGAGCATTGTATTTTCATTATTTTTCTTTTTGCATCACATAATACCTTCTCTCTCTCTCTCTCTCTCTGGTGCTGAAATCCCAGCTTCTTAACGTGGTGCCCATTTTGTTGCGCATCCCTGGAGTGCCACAGAAAGTCTTTCGAGGGCAAAAGGAGTTCATGGACTTTGTAGACGTGCTGATAGATAAGCACATGGAGACCTGGAACCCTGCTTACATCCGAGATTTCACTGATGCATTTTTAAAGGAAATGGAGAAGGTAGGGTGACACCAGCAGAACTTCAGGGTCCAGGGGCAGTTCCTCTGCCTGTTTAAGCTTGTTGATAGAAGCTGACTCTCCTCATAAAGCTGTATAAAACCTCTTACTAACTAATTTCTTACTTTTTCATTCCATGTGGCATCTTGAGAAGAAAGGTGTTGTTCTGCACGCTGTAACCTTCTTTATTGTTTTAAGAGACTTCATTATCTGATGATGTTCCCATTTTTTACCTTCAGGCTCCCCTCAGAATCTAGCAACTCCCTTCTTTCCAGCCTACACCATGTTGAAGGCATTTCAAAGGCAATGACCGAGTTCACTAATATTTCTAAGTTCGTGCCAGGGGACGAGTCGACGTGAAAGATTCTGTGTATGTCAGTGCCTTCATGACTGATGTCTTAAAATCAGTTACAAAACTGCAGCAACAGACTGGCTTTTTGGTATCATTGCCCAGTCCATAGCCTGTCTTTAAACCAAGATACGACTTGGAAAGATGTTATCTCCTTCGAGATGTGTGTCTCTAAATTGCTTGCTAAGAACTAGTTCCCTACAGAGCTGATGAAGGCCTACATCTGAATCTCACTGAAATAAAAGGAGTTTCTCCTTTGATTCAGTCAGGCATGAAGTCAGTATAAAATCAAAGGTACTTGCATCAGCCCATTCATCCACCATATGTTTCTGCACATGGATTCACTAAATTTCAAGAGCCAGATGAGCAATAGCAGCAAATTCTGCCTGTGAATTGCTTCTGCCATCCAAGTCCTCAGGCTGGCCTGCTGCTCTGCATAATGAACCCTGCCGTGCTGCGGGCACCGGCCACCTCCAGCCCGTGAGTTAGCCCTCACACGGCCAGAGCAATGTGCCCTACATTACTCTCCACTAAGCAATACTATCTGGGGGTAGATGTGAGCCTTACCACGTTGCCTCGTCACATCTCTTCCACTCATTAAGGTGCCCTGATAAACCAGACTGGGAAATCCTTCTACTGGGTTAACTTTGGTCAGATCAGCCCCATAGCTCCCTTGCCAGAGATCTTTTATTGGAGTAACAGTTGAGTCTTAAATACCTTACTAATTGCTATCCGTATTACAACAGCATCAATATATACAGCTTAACAGAAGCTAGTCCCTAGGAAAGGAAAGTATAAAGAGGATTAGAAAAGACAAGCAGATGAACTCATGCAGAGAGCTTGTCATATTTCATATGCTAACAAATTTGAGCTCAATTAGCATTTGGATGAGAGACCAGTTTTGCTGAAATTGGTGTTGCAGACTTAATAGGCAGCAATGATACCCTGATACTTTTTTTTTTTTTTTTTTTCCTTTTCAATTGTAAGAAAATATCAGGGCAGAAGCAGCTAGAATCTGTAATGCATAGCTATAGATAACCCCCTCAAAATACTGTTAATTTTGCATTTGCCACATCAATGCAGCCTCCTCTCTACTGTGTGGGTTTTATGATCTGATCAAACCTGAACGACTATGTTCCACCTCCTCTGGGGGAGGATGTTACAGCAAGTGGCAGGGGCCTGCTGTCTGTCTGAGTTGAGAGCACAAGGCGCTCCCTTCTGTCTTGAAGGCAGGTGCAGCGTTCATCTCTGGGGATACGGGAGGTGACTGATGACCTTCAAATACAGGAGGTAACAGGGTTACCAAAGTACAACAGTCACACACCTGTATGATACAGACCACTGCCTGTATTGTGCTCTGCTGTCCCAATGAACTACTTGGTCAGCAAAAATGGATGTAGTGCTTCTCACTACTTCTCCGGAACAGCGGTCTTCTCGCCCAGCAAGTACACTGGCTTCGATCACCTACTTGTTTGCTCTCCACAGGGTAAGGTGGCTGAAGAGAACGGTTTCAACTATAACAACCTTCGTCTAGTGACCGCTGACCTGTTTGCAGCTGGTTCTGAGACCACCTCCACCACCCTCCGGTGGGCACTTCTGTACATGCTTCTCCACCCGGAAATACAGAGTAAGTCAGGAGACAGGCAGAGGTGTGGCACCTTCCCTTCAACCCTCATCTTCCTGCCAGGAGACCAGACATCTCTCCGTGGTTTGGGGATTTTGCAATGAGGAACATCTTTGGGAATTGTTGGTCTAGCAGAAACCAGGAGAAACACTTCCCAAACACAGCTGTTCTGGCAGGGACCGGTAGCAGGGGAGGGAGCCCTGATAAAAAGACTGGAGTTGGAAGGGCAAGTTTGCTCTCATCTTCATTTTGAAGGCTACTTGGGGACTTTAAGTGGCCAGAGTACCCTCTTTCCAGTATTTGGAATAGATGCTAATCTGTTTTAATTCTCTAGTGCTGAATGCCCAGGTACCCTTTCAGCTGCATAGAGGAGGGGTAAGATAGCATGTCGAGTGACAAGACCTTAATTAAAGACACTATGCACAAAGAATAGTTATACAGATGGCTCTGAGCAACTGAAAACAAATGCATTCCCCTCTAGTTTCTGTTCCCTTCTCTAATTGCCTGTCCTGCTCTCACCCAGCGTCTACAATCTCACGCTGCCAGCCTTCCTACAGGTTGTACCAGCCCCTTCTGTTTACCTAAGGGCACTCTAATTCCTTAGCTGTGCTGCTTTCAGGTAAGGTCCAAGCAGAGATTGATAAGGTGATTGGCAGAGAGAGATCACCCACCATGAAGGATCAAGTGAGCATGCCCTACACCAATGCTGTGATCCATGAAGTGCAACGCTACGGGGACATTGCTCCTATTGGACTACCTCACATGACGTACCGGGACACCGAGTTGCAAGGCTTCTTCATTCCCAAGGTGACCGTGACCAGACAGGCAAGGCAGCATCCTCTCCCTGTGCAGATGCCAGGCATGAGGTGTGGGTGACCCCACGCAGCTCAGCAGCGTTGCACTTCTGGCCCCAAATTGCAGTCACTGGCAAGTACTGAAGGAGGACATTTTGAAATGCTAAATCTAGGCAGATGGTCACATTTGTGCTCTAGGTTTGTGCTGCTTATGTGGGAGCCCAAGTGCAGTGGCAGCTCAGTGCAAAGGTTTGCTTTCCCCGCGATGAGCTGTGACACTCACTGCCTGTGTTAGAAGGAGAAAGTAAGAGCCTTACAGGCTCTTTGGAGGCACATGACACCAGCTTACTGGTTTTCCTAAGGTGGAAGTAGTTACAACTCCAATCTCTGAAATTATTCAAATGCCACTGGCATTCAGTCCACTGCCATTGTGAGAGGCAGCTGCCCTGGCAGCACTGGTAGCAATGCAAGCCTGGAATTTTGTTTTTAGCCTTGCAGTATCTCCTCTAGCTTAGACCACTGACGTGTGAAACAAGAAAGCTTTGCAATTTTCCCAAGGCCCCTGAAAAAGTTGGGCTTTGAAGTCTGTCAGTCAGCTTTTTCTTTCCAGATATAAAACAAGCCCACGAGGATCTAAGAAGCAGAGGCTGTTTCCAGCCTGTAACCGTGAAATTGGCATTTGCATTCAATGGCCTCTGTAAGGATACAAACTGCAAAAGTTCAGATGCTTCAGAGCACAGGGCAGGCACCATCTGTCATTGGAAAGGTGCCCTGCTTTACCTCTGATTTAAGTAAGATACAGAAGAGGAGATCAGTGCCTTATTCTGAAGCACTGAATGATGGTTGCTATTAGATGGGAGACACGGACTAAAGAGGGACCAGTACTGATCCATTGTGCCAGGGTAACGATGCTGTTCTCACATAAGTTCTTTTCTTCTTGTGGTGGTGCACAGGGGACGACAGTCATTACCAACTTGTCTTCCGTGCTGAAGGATGAGGCAGTCTGGGAGAAGCCGAATGAGTTTTACCCCAAACACTTCCTGGATGAGAACGGGCAGTTTGTGAAACCAGAGGCCTTCTTGCCTTTCTCAGCAGGTAAATCTGAGGAGGGGATCCAGCTGCCAGTCCAAGGCACAGCAGGAGGGGTGATCTGCTCCTCCCACGGTGATTCCAGTGTGATTTAATGTCCTCTTACATGGACACCTTCTACTCCCTCTCTTGCAGGTCGCCGTGTCTGCCTGGGGGAACAGCTGGCCAGGTTGGAGCTCTTTATTTTCTTTACCACGCTCCTGCAAAAATTCACTTTTGTGCTCCCCGAAGACCAGCCCAGGCCACGGGAGGATGGTCACTTTGCCCTCACAAGCTCCCCACAGCCATACCTGTTGCGAGCTGTCCCAAGATAAGTGCACATCACTCTCCTTTCACTCACAGGCACCAACGCAAACTCTGTCAGAAATGTTGCAGGTCTAGGCAGGATCATGTCGGGTTCCACTCAAGACCTCTTAAGTCTGTGCAGCTGTCCCCAGCTGTGAAAGTAAGGATATGGCCCAATATATAGTTTAGCTTAATTCCAGTCTTTGATCTTGAATCAGACAGCCATAGCAAGTTATGAATGGCGATCAAGTTTGCAAGTACCTATAAGCCCAATCAGCCAGCTTTGCTGTACTCTGCATTCTCATCAGTTGCAGAAGCAGTTCACTGAGCACACAGCTACTAAAATAAATATTACTCCTGAATTATTTTACTGGAATACAAGGGTATCCTGGGTCAAAGGCAACCCTGGGGTCTTGGCACTTCTAGGAGCAAAAAAACTTGGAAAAATCTTTAAGGTACTCTGCCTCCCCCACGGTCTACCCTGAAGCAGCCTGTGCCTCTGCCAGGCGCCCAGGGGAGTCCAGCTCTGGCTCGGATCCTGAAAAAACAATCCAGGGCCGCTCAGCTGATTTGGCATGTGCTGCTGGTGGGCAGGGCAAGAGATTCAGCTCCAACAGCAAGGTGACATCTAACTGCAGTTTCGGAGCGGTGCTCCTGAGAAATCTTACCATCTGATACATATGTATCCCCCTTGTTCCTTCCTGCTTATTGCATACTCCCCACTACTGCACACATATTGCACTGCCTTCATTTATAGCCCCAAAGAAAGCAAGTTTTAATCCTGACAACCCCTCTGTCACGCTCCAGTAGGAGTAAATACCAAGAAGGAGTACATAAATAATCCATATGGCATTTCAGCCACAGAAGAAGGTAATTTGTGAAATAAATTCCTGTATTTCAGATAAATCCTGATGTTTAGTTTTACAATAATTATGTCCTGAAAACTGCTTTTTCTCGGCACTACATAAATTCAGCTGTTGAGTGGGTTTGGAACTCACAAAGGGATGGAGTTACACCGTTTGAAACAGTACAGTTGTAGGTTTCAGAGATACCTTTCTCTTTCTTCCTGCAATATTCTTGACAAATTGTTTTTCAAGATGTTAAGATATGCTGATGGTTAGATTAGTAACTACCTTTTAACCACATAACTGAAAAGACTACAGCATAAAGGAGCTTCTATGCATAACCACAGCTAAAAACCCCATAATCTCTGAAACTGAGTGCATGTGTGTACACACATTCATATAGGGAGAAACAAGCCCACATATATTAAAAAAAAAGTTTTACTGGGGACAAAGTCAGTGGAGCAAAGAATACAGTGCTGAGCGCAGTGGCACAACCTGCCCCAGCAGGGGCTTCTTTTTATAGTTCCAGTTCTCCTTTTTGTACCTGCACAGTTCCTTCTTCTTGGTTTCTTTAAGGCTGTCTCTCCCTGCACTTTTCCACTGCTTCACTACTTCTTACCACAAAACAGACAGCTGCTGAGCAGGGGAGGCAACCACAATGTTATATGTAACCTTCGGTTTAAACATGAAATCAAATAAAGAACAATGCAACAAAACCAAGCCAAGCAACAAGTCCACTTGCTTTCCTTCCCCCTCCCTTCCTCCCCAATGTCTACAGCTGGTCTCAGTGGTCCTTTGTGTGTGTGTGGGGGGGGGGGGGGGAGGGGGGGGGGTTGGGGGGGGATCAAAGTCCAGGTTCCTCTTCATGAGGAGTTCTTTGCTTAACCCTTTTTCTGCTGGCTTCCATTCCTCTTTACATGACACCTAACCACAGACACAGACCACCCCCATCTCCTGCTTGCCCAACTCCCTGCAATGCCCAACCCTATGCCTAACTTGTGATCTAAAAAAAGCTTGCTTAACTAATTCTAGCAACGCTATACTAGCAACACTAATTTTGTAACAGCTTCAGCCTAACTCAATAAAAGTAACTGTTTAATTACTTTTAGCGAAAGCAAAATTCTAGTGTTACTTCTCACAATCTCAATCTTTCTAGCAGTAATTTTGGAAGCTATGAAAGCTATTGAATTATGCAAATACTGTTGTTAAGATTTCTACTTCAGCAGCAACTGCACATTTAAGGTGTTCATCTACAAAATAATCTGAAAGAATAAGTGATTTGTAAAGTCTTCTTTCTTGGCCCTCTTCTTTGCGTTTGTCTCACAGTCCTGCTACACCCCTGCTCCAGGTACCCACCTGACATTTCTCTCAGCCAGCACCCTATCTGTTTCTTTCAAGATCCTTTCTGTGTTACTTATCCGGTTGGTTCAAATGACACTGAACTGAACACAGTTGGGTTTATAGTTACCAGCACATATGTGTTTTTAAAGAGGTTTCAGTGGACTAAACTTCAAACGGAAAGGATACCAGCACTCATGCATTTGGATAAAAGGCATGGGTATACCTAGAGTAGGGACTGCCTTTGCAGCATGCAAGAACGCACTGAAAGGAGGTCAACGTGGATGTGCACACATCAGCTGGTGTGGCCTTTCGGAGGCAGAAGGGAACAAATAGATCACTGCAAAATACAGATCTAGGACTGATACTCGGGAAGAGGAAAGCCAAGTTCTACCAGCCAAAAATGGCCGTGAAAGCCAACCAGCTGGCGTTGAGCTGGGGCAGGCGCTGTCACGCCACGGGCCCCGCTGCCACGCACCGACCGACCCCGCAGTCCCGCTGCCCTTGCTCAGTTTTCCCTTCGCCCCCCCCCCCCCACGGGCCCCGCGGTGACCCCCGACCCCTCCGGGCGGGGCAGGCCCCGGGGGCCGCGCAGGCCCATTCGCCCCGGGAGGCGGGGCACATAAAGGGACCCGCCCAATAGGTGTGTTCCACCCCCCCCCCTCACAGCCGGCGGTGATTGGCGTTTCTCCCGACCAATCTAATGGGAAACCGCCGGCCGCCGCTATTTGCCAAGCCCGAAAAGGCTGGAGTGGCAGCGCAGCGGGCCAATAGGGGGTCGCTGTGCCGGTGAACATACCGGCGGCGGGACGCACCGCGCGGAAGCTTCGCCGCGGTGGCGGCGGCAACAAGATGGCGGTAGCGGGCAGAGGAGCGGTGTCTGCCGTGGTGAAACCGATCTTCAGCCGGGACCTGGGCGAGGCGAAGCGGCGCGTGAGGGAGCTGTACCGGGCCTGGTACCGCGAGGTGCCCAACACGGGTGAGGGGCGCGGAGCCGGCCACGCATGCGCAGGCGGCAGCGCTAGCTCAAGGTCGTAACGGCCACCCGGCAGCCGTTGGGTTCTTAAAGGGCCCGTCGGGGGTTGACGGTGACTCCTGGGTGTGTTGGTCCTGCCTCACCGCGGCCCGGCCCGCGGCGTGCGGGGCCGGCAAACACGGGTGTTCGGGACCTTGCAGTGGCTGTGGGCGGTCGGCCGCTGCCCCGCGTAGCACCGGCCCGGCCCGGCTGCCTCCCCGGCCGGAGGCTGAGGGAGGTCTGGACGGGGAATCCCTGTCTCCTCCTGCCTTACTTGCCACTTGGTTTTCCTGGCGAAGCAAAAGAAAAATCTAGCTTTGATTTTCCAGAACGGGGGGGTGTGGCACGAACGCCTGCCTCCTTTAAGCTGCACTGGGGCTGTGTTGTTTATTTGCTTTAGATTAATCGTATTAGCGAAGCTGGTAGACATTGCAAGAACAAATGACTGTGTGGTGTTTTGTAGTGTCGAGTTGCACACTGTCAGTGGGAAAAATTAAAAGCAATATAGATGACCTCAGTGGGTGTTGTTTTTTGTAGTACACCTATACCAGCTGGACATCACGGTGAAACAGGGGCGTAACAAGGTGCGGGAGATGTTCATGAAGAATGCCCATGTTATGGATCCACGGGTGATAGACATGCTGGTTATTAAGGTACAAACAAGTTCTTTTGGTTTTGTTGAAGCTGTGGAGAATGTGAGTGGATAATTGGTGGTGAGTGTGATGGAGGAGAGGGACAGTTTTATTTCAGCTTGTGCTGTGGAGTTGTCTCATGCAATCCAGATGGGTTTATCTGTCAGCAAAACTTGATAAGGGATCAAGCTGCTTTAGCATGCAGAGGAATAGGGTCTTAACTCACCTAAGAGTTGGTAGAATATGGTTTTCTGTCACTCAGTGTACTGGCTCTTCCAGATTGCAGATTTTTAAAAGATTAAGTATATGGCAAGGAAAGCTGTATCCTAAATACCAAGGTGGTTGTGTGTGTTTGTTTTTTTTTTTTTTGTTTTGGGTTTTTTTTTTTGATACCAATCACAATCAAAGGAAGAGGGAAAAGATGCTGCTAGCTGGTTTACCATTAAAAACTACCTTTCTACTCCCTACAGTACTTCCTTAGATTGGGATGTGGTTTTCTTCGCTGATTCTGAAGCATACATTAGAGTGGCAGTACTTGGTGGGAGGTTTTGGGTGGCAACAGACCCCAACTCTGTAACATATCCAGTTATGTCTCAGGTCTGAGAGACCTGTCTGGTTCAAAGCCATAATCAGCATACCAAGAGTAGGGCAAGGATTCAAAACAGCTCTGAGCAACAATAACTGACCTCTGCAGTTCTCGTGCATTAGAAAGCTTCCAAGGACTGCCGTGCTCACCTGTTGTGTTTCTTGCATTTCGTTTGTCTTTAAATGATGAAAAAATCTGGAAACAGAATCCTATGTAATACAGTAGGTGACAATTCAAGGCAGTCTGATTTTGTCCTGTGCTGCCATCCTTCAAAACCAGTACAATAATTAATAGACTGGAGTCATGACAAAGTTAGGTTTAATATCTCTGTGGTAGTGATACTGGTGCAAAGCATTTAGCAGCACTTTTACTTAGTTTTACAGCTAACTTGCTGCTATATTAAAAAAAAAATAGAGGTACATGAAAGGTAGGAATGTGATATATAATTTTATGGGGGTGCCAGTCATGAAAGAAACCAGGCAGGTTCTAAGGGGGCAGGGTCTCTTGCCTGTTCCACAGGGCTGGGAAGCTGTGCTATAGGGACAATGACATGTTAATACAGGACATGAAGCAATAAAGTCACAAGACAGGAACGATGTATATATTTGTGTCACAGTGTAGGTGATGCAGGCAGTCTTTAGGAGTACAGAACTGTTGATGCAGCTATCTTAAGGGTGTTTCTAAGTGCATTCAAGTAATCTTCATAGTACTGTATAGTTAGGCTTGGGTTCTAACTGAGAACTAGTCTAAGATTCTTTTGTCTCTGTGCAGGGAAAAATGGATCTTCAAGAAACCATTCAAGTATGGAAGCAGAGGACTCACATCATGAGGTATTTCCATGAGACTGAAACCCCACGACCCAAAGACTTTCTGTCCAAATTCTATGCGGGCCATGATCCCTGAAAGATTGACTCTGTGTTTTCCTGCCCTGTATTACAAATAAAGTTCTATATCCTAGGAAAAAAAAATGTACAGAAAGACTGTATAGCATAATAGGAGCCTAACAGCTAACTCTGAATCCAGTGCGTACAAGCCATTATGATTTGTATGAAGAGCTGCAATTTCCTGGGTTTGCCAATGTGTATTTCTAGTAGATAGAGTTTGTCCCATCACTTGCCCTGGAGTGTCAGCTGAATGAATAACCACAACACAACCTGGCTGTGGGGCTTTCTGCTTAGCCTGCAGCCCTGTGCCTAGGTGTTAGCCCCGTAGAAGGAGGAGTGGGCCTTCAGAAAAGCCAGTGTAGTCACAGGAATATTCTTGCTTGAGGCCCATCTGTATTCATGCAGTGTTATGCAATTTCATGCTATGACTTTGTTGACCTTGTGTTTTTTACTTGGACACTAGTCTCTGTTTACTTTCTCACAGAGGATGGCATAAAATCCAACAGGCAAATAAAGCCCATTATGAAATAAAAAGATCACCAGAGTCCATTTCCCTGCTGAAAAATGAAATTAGCTTAGAAAATGGAGTTTTGTACTGTTGTCTAGAATAGGGAGACTCTGTAAGAGCTTCTGATGCCTAGCAGAAGATGGTGTCCTACCATTACCTCCTTAATTGAATTAGGAATTACTAGCTCCCTTGTGAGAAGGGTAAGGAAAGTTAGTTATTTCACCAGTCTGAATGAGTTTTCAGCAGGTAACTCGGTGTTGGAGCTCCCCCCTGTGTGATCAGTGTTGAATCTTTGTAGTATGCTCAAAATTCCTAAATACTGGGGCTTTCTTCCCCCTATGAGGACTGTAAAGCAGCACTCCTCAGGAATGCGCACATATGCGTACCTAGGGGCTTCAGGGGTGAGGCATTTTTATGGACATGGTTGACAGTCAGGAAGGGCCAAGAGAGGTGGTGGGATAAAGCAGTGATAAAGAATTTGGCAGCATAGAAAACGGGAGCAAGGACGTGTCTGGCTCCCACGTGCAGATGAACTGGAGCAACCACTTCTCAGGTTGCTCTGGGGCAGGAGGGAGCAACTCTGATACCAAGTGACTCAAGAACCTGCCAGCTGCCTTCAGCTAGAGCTGCTGGGGTTACTGGGAGGGCAGGCCCCCTTTTCTCTCAGTAGCTACCTTGAAGAGTTACAGAGCGAACATCAAAAGCAGTGCCAAATAATAAGGGAGTAAATGTGGCTGTTTGAACTATACACAGTGCTAATGCGTGCAACAGTAAAGGGAACTTGTTAACAGCTACGTGAATACTGAGGGGAAAAAGTGGGTAGTCAAGAAAACAAGCCACATCCAGTGACCAAAAACCATGACACACACACTAGGGCAATGCTGGCTTTAAAAAAATATGTAAGTTATCTGACTAACCTTTCAAGGTATTTGAGAAAACAGCTGGTCTGATGTGATTGAAGATACTCTTATGTATGCCCTAGCAGTAGAGAAGCCTTTTAAATTTACTATGCAAGGATTTAATTGCAATAGTAAACACTTCTGTGAAAAGAAAAGTCCTAAGTTTATATACAGTTAGGAAAATAAATACATTAGGGCTCATACAAAAGGAAGTATTGAACTACCTAGCAATTTCTAGGTGCTTGGAGCCAGAGTGTTCAGAGGTTTTCACTGTTCAGAGATTAAATGCTATAAAACATGTCAGCGAGTTAGTTTGCCACTCACAATCTTGACCTTTTACCAAAGCTACTCAAAGCTTTTAACTCAATGATGATAATACAGTAGTCAATCCTCCGTGAGGTGAAATTAATGATAGAGTCTGCATCAGATGTACCTGCTAGGTTGTAAACCAGCATTATTTGAACTGCAGTGCCAGTGTCCTTATGCACTCCATTCTTTTAATGGGGCTGTGTTGTGGGGCCAATGCTTCCTCTAGGATTCCTGTCATGTACTGTAGATTAATACTGAATTACAGAAAGGACTCATACGAGGAAATAAATATGAAGAGAGCCTCCTTACTGGAACAGATGTCCAGAGGTAGGAAGGTTAAGACAAATGCTAGGACATAGGCACATAATCTATAAAAACACAAGACCAAAGTCATACATCTCAATCTCTTGATCTTTAATTGTTTCCCATATTGCTAATAAAAGGAATCCCAAGCAGTCTTTGATGAGGTGAGCGTGTGTGTGCAAGGATGCAGGACCTATCAAGTACTTCCTTCAACCCTGATCTACAGCTGTCCGTCATACAGACACGTGCAGGGCGCTCACTGGCAAAGGGGATACAGAGCCCCCTGTCCCGTTTAGAAAGGACAAAACACGTGACAGATGTTGAAACCATTGCTTTGTCAATGGTTTTCTCCCTTCTGTTCTTCCATTACAGTTCTGCAAATAGAATAATAAGCCGTTACTCTTCAGATATACCATACTGAGCTCCAGTCCATACCCTCCCCCTGAACCACACAAGGTGGGGTTTACATAAAAGGAGTTTCTAACAGGCCACTGCAGTCTTTACAATCTTTTAATTCTTTGCTTTTAGCTACATAGTGTATGCTGGAAAAATCCCTTTATCAAATGGAATACATCCACCAAACTGATTATAAATTAACAGTATTTACAGCAACTTATTTAAAATGGCTTCTTTGTTCACCCCAACTCAAGTCTTTACACAAGGGCAAGCCAAACAATAACATGAAATGGTGGAAAGCATAGCACAGTGTAGTGTACTGCAGATCAAGGTGATTTATTTCTGCTTCTTCCTTTATCCCATGAGTCTGAATGGTCCAACTACTCTGGAGATCAGCGTTGTAACACCCACGGGCCAGTTTGTGCTGATGGCTTCTGGAATTCTCTTAAATTGTTCACCTCTGCATCAGAATTTCATACAATAAGTGATGCTCTTTTAAAAGAGTCATTCTCTGAGTTAGCAGAAGACTTTTAAACACGTAAACATGTAGAACAGAATCACAGAATCATTTAGGTTGAAAAAGATCAAGTCCAGCTGCAAACCTGTCACTGCCACGTCCACCCCTAAACTGTGTCCATCCCTAAATGGCATCTCCAGGTCTTTCTGAATACCTCCAGGGACGGTGACTACTGCTTCCCTGGGCAGTCAGTTCCAATGATTGACAACCCTTTTGGTGAGGAAATTTTTTCTAATATCCAATCTAAACCTCCGCTGGCGCAACTTGAGGCCATTTCCTCTCTTCCTATCACTTTCTATTTGGGAGAATAGACCAACGCCCACCTCGCTACAACCTCCTTTCAGGTAGTTGTAGAGAGTCTCCCCTGAGCCTCCTTTTCTCCCCCCATTTCCCTCAGCAGCTCCTCATAAGACTTGGGCTCCGGACCCTTCACCAGCTTCGTTACCCTTTTTGGATGCGTAATGTGATAATACTGAAGTCCCTCTTTTCCTTCTCCATTATAGACTCTCACTGACTACAGTTTATTTCTGATTCAAATTACAAGATCTAAACTGCCATCAGTTTATCCCGATCTCTAACGAATGTATGTTGTGGAGATTTCACGTTCAGATACCAGTCTGGCCTACTCTGGTATTAAAGTTTGTAGCCAGAGGCAACACTCTGCCTGTGGGTTTAACTGCAAATGCACCTTTCAAGCTGTTGCTGTATTTCATAGTCTGAGGTTCTCCTCCCTGCCTCAAGCCAAACGGGAAACAAATAATTAGATTGCTGGTGATGTTAATGACATACCCTTTAATCATCATCATCGTCATCCTCTGGCACAAAGATATCATGTTCTTCAAGTAGGGCTGCAAAGTTCTTACTGATCTGGGTCCCGACGTACAGGAAAGGGATCACCACGCTGAATACTCTGAGGAGGCCGAAGGGCGTCTGCAAGGAGCCGGTTGGAGAAGGCTCATCTTGAGCAGAGCAAGCCGCACAGTGGCTGAACCCCGGCGCTCCCGGCCCCGCAGGCGCCCAGAGGACGCGGGAAGCAGCGGTTTAGCGCGAAACCCCCCGCCACCGCTTCCCGCTCCGTTATAAAAACCCCGGCGCTGTGAGAGCGGGAACCCGCGGGGAGCTCGGGGCAGGGGACACGGGTGGCGCAGGGAGGAGGAGCGGCGGCGCGCAGGCGGGCGTTCCCCTCACCCTCCCGCGGGCGGGCGCTTCCGCAACCCCGCCCACAGCCCCCCCACTCATTAGCCTAGACCCTGTCACTCAGTCCTCCCACAGCAGATGCGCCGGCACTGATTGGCCACCGCTGCCATCCGTCAGGCCGCGACTGGCTACCGCCCCCCCCCCCCCCCCCCCGCCCGCTCGCCCCTCACTCACCTTAACGGGCTTGGGCAAAATAGCGCCGCTGCGGGTGACGGTGGCGCCCCGGGAGGGCACAAGCGGCACGGCCGGGTTGCGGCGCGGCCCGCCCCAGCCCGCTCGCCCCGAGTAAGCCGCGGCCGCCGCCAAGAGCCGCCCACCGGCCGCCGCCATCCTCCCGCCTGCCCCGAGCCGGGACCCCGCAACGGCCGGGCCGAGGCGTCACCCAGGGCGGCGGGGCCGGCGGCTCTCGCGAGGCTTCGGGGAGGGAGGGGGGGGGAATCGCCACTGCGCATGCGTGGGGCGGTGCCGCCCGTCACCCGGCGGAGTTGGCCGCGGCACGGCCCGTGGGGTGCCGCGTCACGCGGCGTGGGTGCCCCCACGGCGGGGAAAAGGGGAGCGGGCAGCCTTTTACCGCGTCCGGCCAAATGGCTGGTTTAGGCTCGGCGGTGGAAAACCGGGCTGGGTGACCCTAGAACCGGGCAGGGCGGGAATCGCCGGGCCCCACGGGCGCTTCCCGCGGGTGTCGCGGGTTCACAGCTCCGTCGGCAGCGCACGGGCTACAAATCAAAACGGTTTATTCGGCTTCACGGCGTAAAACGCAAACGTGAACAACGTCTTGAAATGCATAATACAAGTTCCGTGTGTAAAAACAAAAGGCGCATGCAAAACCACCTCTTAAAAACACGTCATCTACCTAAAATACAAGCACTTTAAAAGGCAGGAGAGTTTCCACAGGTTGCTCGTAGTGTTGGCCGGTAATTGTGCAGATGTTAAAATGTGCTCGGTGCCGGTGAAAGATGCCCCCGTCACGGGAATTCCACCTGTTCCCTGTGCGTTTCAGTGGGGGTTATTTAAGTTCCTCTGCAAAGGCAGTTGAGAGGGGTAAGATTTGGGGGTCACCCACCCCTAAACTATTAATGTGGTAGCTACTGTAACAGAAAACGTCCGATCTTGGTCGTGAATGTCCATAAAGTGGCTAGCAGTGGTCATGGGTAAAATCTTGAGGTTACTCTTATTGTTAGGACATGGGTTCAGTGGAAAACATCACCACAGTTGTTTTATAAAAAGATCAATGGGCAGAAATAAAACAATACGTTATGGGCCTGAATCTGAAATGCCAGCCTCTGAAAAATACAAGGATTTCATCAACTATTTTTGCAGAATTGGCAGCCCCTGGCACAGCTTACAAAGGCTATGTCAGAATCGCCCTCCCTCTTTCAATCTTCTATTTCTTCTAAATTCAAGCATTCAGATTCAAGCATTTTTCTCTCATTGCTTTTGCATCATTTTGCTAAAGAACATTCTTAGAAAAGGATTTGACTTCAGTACTTCAAGAAAAGCAGCCATTCAGCGTTAGTGTTCAGCTCCCCCTTTGATAGGGAACGTGTTTCGTGCTGCCCAGCCATTTTCTGCTTTTAAAAAATAAGGGAAAGCAAAGGCAGGAGGTGAAACAGTCCAAACCTGAATGACCAGAGAAAACCAGCGTGTGGCAGTCAGTCTTATTTTGCTGCTGGAGACAACGTGCAGTGAAAAGTCTCTACTTTTCCTGAAATGATCTCTGCCCGCAAACAGTCAGAGAGGATGCTCCTTTAGCCAGCTGCATGTGTAATCCCAGGGAGCTGAAATCCTGACCTTCTGCCTGGGGGGCTGCTTCAAAGGTGCTGCCAGATCAACTGATCCTCAGCCAAACTGGTTTGATAGTCTCCATCTCAGAGGAGGTGGTGGAGCACCCAGGTGCTTCCTGACTAATGAAGCGAGCAGCGGTGGTCATTAAAAAAACTGCACTCCCATACAAATTTGGGGATGGCTCCAATTATGGCTCTTTTTACTCACAAAAGGCCCGTCCCTGCTATGTAAGCAGGATGGTGAGGAAGCCCCGACCAAGCGCATCCGAAGAAGTCACGCAGCACTTTGGAGACCTAGCAAAGGCCCACGCATGGACAGCTGGGCTGAGCACCAAGACTGTTCAGGATTTAGCCACTTTCTTCTCAGCGCTGCAGAATAAAACACAAAATCACTCCAAATGCGATCAGACAGAAAACAGAGCGCAGCTCCTCATTTGCAGGATTTAGGATTTAGTTGGTGTATGTGCTAAGGCAAAGGCAGGTAGCGTGGAAATTGTGCCATTTGAATGGAACAGATTAAAGCATTAAATACAAGCTCTTTAGTAGTGTTACTAGCACAATCCTGACTTATTAAAACAAACTAAGCTTCTTAAAAGTGAAACTGCCCTTTAAATGAATAATACTGTTTCAGTTCCAGTTCTGACAGAACTGGCTTTGTCAATTTATTTTCCCTTTCAAGTTACTCTTGATTCTTGGGTCTCATGTAGTAACTGCCATTACATTTTCATTTATTTTGGAAGTTAAATCTTTACCATCAAACTTCCTTATGTAAGTCTGAGACATCAGGAATATCCTTCTGAATTCTTTTTTTTTTTAAAAAAAACCACCCCAAAACGCAGAATGCTTGCCAGATCTGACCCTGGCCCCAAAACACCCATGCTCAGAGTGAGGAGGCACCAAGTAGCGCCACGCACTGATGCTGCTGCCCCAGCATGGGGAAGGGGACAGGTTCTCACTGAACTCTTCAAGCAGGAGGTAGGGAGGCAGAGCTGGCCCCTAAGTCCAGCCTGCTGGACTGCTGGCAAAGCCTGGGCACTGGCCTGTGGCCACCTGCTCCTGTTTTTTTCTCAAGTGTTTTCACCTAAAAAGCAGAACAAAAATAAACCTCCCAAACTCGAAGATCCTTACTGTGAAAAAATACAGACATGAACTGGAGAGGTCTGGATTGCATCACTTGTATGTGAAGGTTACACTCCCACTGCTCAAAGTCACGTTCGTAAGATCGGATTTAACATCTGATTTCCTCTAATATACCACTGAGCCATAATTAGGCAGGAGGCTGGAAGGTCATCATCCAAAACTACCAGAGATATATTTTCAAAGGCACCAAGAGTTAATGGAAGTCATATGATTTCTGCATTAGCAATCTCTACTGGCTATTGCAAAGTATTAAGCTGAGTGCGTTTAACTCCAGAAAGGCAAACAGGCTCCTAACAGTCACGACCTGGAATGGCCTCTTGCTTTCCTAGCAAGGCTCCTTAGTAAAACAGGGCAATAAAAACAGGTTTAGCACTGTTAGATAGGAAGCACAAGACTGCCTCGTGTATTTGAAGCAGTATATATGTAGGTATACACCTCCTTGTACCATCTGCCCCGTCGCCAAGGTTTCTGGCCTACAGAAGGACAAGTCTGTTTCTGCAGTGAGGCGACAGGCATGCCTCCCCACAGCCCTCCTCACCCCCTGGGAGGATGGGCCGTGCTACGGAGATCAGCCGAGTGATGCTGACATGAAATCGGAGGCAAGCGCTGGCAGGCCAGCTGCTGGCTTTGGTAAAAAGCAGCAGTATGGCTTCGACGCTTCGAGAGGCAAGCTCAGACACTGCTGACATGCAGTCAGCGCTACCTGTAACTCACTCCCACACCTTCACGTCTCCTGGGACCAGCCCGCTCCTCCTCCCCACGCCCCCACAGCCTCCCCTCTGACTGCGGGGCTCTGCCGGGAGCTGGGCAGAGCCACAGTAGTGAGAGGGGCCCTGCAAGAGCGCAGCTCTGGACGCCGGCTCGGGCAAGATGCCCAACAAGATGGTTGAGCCCTATATGGCACTTTGCAGGAGCTACGGTCTGCGCAGGGGCTGAGAAATTCAATCCCGGCCAGGCAACAAGGCTTTAGCGTCCCTGTTTTGGAACAGGAAAGGCTTGAGACGGGAGATATTAACAGGCTTGGCTACCGCTTGAGAGAGTCCTGGGGAGTTCCTGGTCCCCACTGTTGCTTCAGACCAGGCTCGGTGTCTCCATTTCAGCCTTGCTGCTGAGCTCAGGCGCCTAAAGAGATGGATGCAAGCCCATGAAATCCACATCCTGAGGGATTTAGGAGGGAGGAGGGTTAGTGCAGATGAAAGTAAAAAAAAAAAAAACAAAACAAAACAAAAAAAAGACAACACAAGAGCCTGGTCCTTGTTGCCCCGGCTGCTGGGCCAGCCACAGCCTCAGTGGCTCACACGTGTCCTGTGGCAAGAGAGGCACAAGGCTGGAGGCCCCCGCCAGGGCCAGTGGCCCGTTGGAGGCATTTCATAAGAGCCCAGCCTTATCCGCCGTGAAAGAGCAAAGGCAGAAGGACTTCAGCACAAGACCACAGACAATAATAAACGCTGACCTGTGCAAAATTCCACGCTGAGAAACAAAACCAAAAAGAAGTGGTGAAGGAGAGGTGGGCGATGAAGCACCCAGAGCACCCACCACGCCAGGATGGCAAAGGGCAACGCCTGCTCGGTGAGGTTTGTTGCGTATGTGCCAGTGTGGGCCCCCTTCACACCTCATATCGTCAGCAGAGGAGAGTTCAAAGACGGCTCCCCTGGTATTACACACTCTCCAACTGTATAAAGCCTCATGGAAATGAAACATGAGGTTTGGGGAAGACCCAGGTCCCTCCCACGGGCCCGGTGAAGCACACACACACACACCGCACACTCAGCCACCGACCAGGGCAGAGGGGCAGCATCCCTGGCTTCGCTCTTCCCGTGTGGGACAGGCTGCCGGGCATCCGCTGGCCGGTGGCTCGCGCACCGCACCCCCGGTCACGGGTGTCCCCTCTTCTGCCTCTCCTGCCACTCCCGTCTCAGCGCCGCGATCTCCTGCCCGTACCAGCTGTGCAGCTTGGAGAAGCAGGCCGTCTCCGGTGACACCGGGCTCTCCGGCATGGCTGGCGAGAGGCCGGGCGCCGGGGACCCCGCGGCGCTGCCGGCGGCAGAGCGCCGGCGTGGAGGCAGAGGAGGGGGCTTTGCGTGCCCCCCGTCGCGGTCAGGGCAGGGGGCCTCCCCCGGGACGCCGCCACCGTTACCCCACGTGGAGTAACCGTTCTCCAGGACGGCAGGCTTCTCCTGGAGAGGCAGCAAGGAGGGGTTGGAGAGGTGCCTCTTCCTGCCGGAGGAGGAGGACCTCCGCGGAGACTTGCGGCAAGCGGCCAAGCTCTTGCAGGCCTCCTCCAGCTGCTTCTCCAGCTCCCTCACCACCAGCCGCATGTAGTCGAAGCTGGCCCGTGAAAGCGCCTTCACCCAGGCCTCCATGGCAGCCTGGCCATCGGCCACCAGCACGTAAGCCCTGGCGCCGGCGTCGTCAAAGCGAATGGCGAAGGCGAACTCCTCGGCGGCCTCGCACAGCTCCACGGTGCAGCCCTCCAGTACCACCAGCCCCACGGGCTCCCGGCTCTCCCGCTCCTCGAAGTAGAAGAGGAGGTTGCCCTTGAGGACGAACCAGCGGCGCTGGTAGGAAGTGGCGTGATGGTGGTGGGCATGGTGGTGGTGCCGCTCCACCCGCTTGCGGAGGAAGCCGGCGTGGTCGGCGGGCGAGTCGCAGGTGGCGTAGTGGGCCACGCTCCGCTCGTTCAGCTTCATTGCCCTGCCTAGGAGCAGAGGAAGAGAGGGGGAAGAAGTCGGCTCCGGGTGAGGAACATCTTAACTGTTCCACCAATCCTGCCCCAAACCTGCTGCAGGGAGAAGCAGCCCCGACTCCAGCAGCCAGCGCGGCAGGACAGCATCTAGCCCTGCAAGTATCCCTGCAAATGGCTGCTGCAGAGAGGAGGTCATCACCAGAGCCCCACCACTGCGACACCTGCCTTCTCTAGGGACAATACCACCGCTGCTTCGTTTCTTATTCCACGAGTGGCCTACTTTGCTGGTTTTTTACATCAAAGAAATTTGCCTCTGTGCCTTCGAGGCATTCATTTCGCTCTCCTCTATTATAGGGCAGAATAAAGAGGGTGTTTTCAGACCCACGGGCTCCGGGACCTCCGTTGGAGCACCCTCTGGCCGCTCCCCATCTCCACAGAGGACCACCGGTCCCCACCAACCCTCCCAGCAGCAGCAGCACCCCCAGCCCCAGCAGGCTCACCGGCAGCGGGGTGCGAGGTGCCGTACCGGCTGTGCGGGTCAGACCACAACCCCTTGCCGTCTTTCCCGGGCGGGCTGCTCCCTTGCCGAGGGCCTCCGAAACTTCACCGTGCCGAGCTCCATCCCTGGTTGGAGGAAAGGTGGCAGAAGAAGGAGTCACAGACCAGACCAGCTTGGCACTGAAAGAGCAAAGAGCTGCATCACTCCCACTCCAGAAAGCGGGGGCCCTCGGTGCACAGGAGCAGCCAGGGCAGGGGACCGCAGGCAGGCAGCTCTGGAAATGGGGGTGCCAAAGCTGGGGGGCACTTGCATTGGCTTCAAAGCCTAAGCCCCATCCCAGCTCAGGCCAGCGCTTCTGTGGGTTTGTTTATTTGGCTCCTGTGAGTTTGGTTTGGGTTTTAATAAAATATATATATATATATATATATATATATATAAAAAGAGTGAGCTTTTGTAAAAGCCCATTGCTGCACCATCTGCGGGGGCCCCGGGGCGGGCGGCTCGGTAAGGCGGCAGGTCCCGCAGAAGGACACAGCGAGCGCAGCCTTTGCCGTTCTGCAACTGCTGCAAATGGATGTCCGACCGCTAAAACTCTGCACACAGAAATATGCAGAAAACAAACCACAGCTGCCACTCCCCAGCCAGATCCGGGCGGGGGAAGCTCCCCACTGCCGAGCAGCCGCCAGTGTCCCTCCTGGAGCCCTTCTCCTCCATCAGGGCAGAGGACAAGGGGGCACGGACCCCAGTGGGAAAATGGACAAGGATCCCATCAGACATATGGAAACGCTGCGCCCTGGGGGTGCTTCGCCCTCGGAGCGACACCGCGAGGAACCTCCAGCCCCGTATATCTGGGCTGAGGACGGGCGGGGTGGCCCGCGCCAGCCCTGACGTGAGGGGTCCGCGGGGGTCCCGCGTGGGGCTGCGTGCGTGTGTGCGCAGCCCCGGGCTCTGTCTCTTTGTGTGAGCGTGCAACAGGGCTGCGTGTCTTTGTGTGCGCCCCTGTGCGAGTTTGCCGTGTGCCTGCGGAACCCCCCCCCCCCCCCCCCCCATACCTCCCCGGCCGGGCCCCGCCGCCCGCTCCCGCCCCACCGCCGCCCCCCGGCCCGTGCCCAGCGCCTCGCCCCGGCGGCGGGACCGCGGGCCCCGTCCCGTCCCGGCTCACCTCGGGCCCTCGCTGCTCGGCGGCGCTGCCGGGGCGGTGCGGGGAGCCGGGGTCCTGCCGCGGCCGGGCGGGGCAGGGCTCCCGCGGCCGCCGGGGCCGTCCCGCCGCGCCGGCAGCACCGCCCCGCCGGCGGCAGCGGGCGGGGGGCGGCGGGGGGCGGCGCAGCCTGCCCGGAGCTGCTCTCGCCCGCACCCTCTGCGTTCCGGGCGGAACGCCTCCGGGTACCCCTGGGGTCCCCACCTCGGGGGAGCCTAAAGCCCCCCCCCCCACCCCCCGCCGGTGTAACTAAGGGGGGGTGCGGTAGCCATGGGGTGCGGCGGTGGTAGGGTGCCAGCAGCAGCGGGGGGCAATGGCGGTGGGCTGCAGTGCTGGTAGGGTGCCAGTGGTGGGGTGCAGCAGCGCTGGGGCGCGGTACCGATTGGGTGCAGTGCTGGCAGGGCGCCAAGTAGTGGGGTGCAGCCAGCAGTGGGGCGCACAACGGCGATGGGGTGCGGCAGCAGCAGCGGCAGGGTGCAGTACTGGTAGGGCTGCGACAGCTACGGGGGGCGACAGCCCTGGGGTGCAACACCAGTAGGGTGCAACGGCGCCGGGGGGGGGGGGGTGATACCAACGGGGTGCCATGGCTGTGGGGTGCCTCGGCAAGGGAGTGCGATACCGGCGGGGCGCGGCGGGGCTGAGTGTAACGCCGTGCCGGGGGGGGGGGGGGGAAGGAGAAGGGGAAGGAAAGGGAGGGAGGAGGGAGGGGAGAGGGGAGAGGGAGGGAGGGAGGGAGGGAGGCGGGAACGGGCGGTCAGGTGGTGCAGGAGGCATCATGTGAGCGGGGCCGGGCCGGGGTGGGGAGGGGAGAGGAGAGGCGATCTGTGCCCCGGCAGCAGCGATGGGGACCGTGGAGCTGAGCGGGCTGGCTTTGGCTTTGCCTTTGGCCTTGGCCTTGGCCTTGGCCCTGGCACTACCCGCCGTGGCCCTGGAGAACGGGCTGGCGCTCACCCCCCCCATGGGCTGGCTGGCGTGGGAGAGGTTCCGCTGCAACGTGGACTGCCGGGCGGATCCCCGCAACTGCATCAGGTCAGCAGGGCGGGGAGCGGCGTGGGGGAGCCCCCCACGCCCCGGGGATCCCTGCCGAGGAGGGGCTGCCCACCCCCACCCCCCCCCCCCCCCCCCGGGGCTCGGCATCCCCTTCTCCCAGCGAGGAAAGCTTCTCCTGTGTGTCCCCTGCCCGAGGGAACCTGCTGAGAAACGCCGGGCTGGTGTCCGGGGTCTGCCCCGGGCGGGTGGATGGGGCGATGCCAGGGCAGGAGAGGGTGGATGGTCGGGTCGGACATCAGGCTGTGGCACTGTCCGTGTCCCTGGGGCGAGCCCTGCAGCAGCAGGATATTGGGGAGCATGATGCGTGGGAGTTGGGGGGGGCTCAGGCGCTCCGATGCTGGGGCTGGAGAGCCCTCGATGCCAAAGGAGGCCCTCGGTGAGATCAATGAACGGGATATGAATGGGGTTTAAATGGGAGCCCTGGAGATCCTCCTGTATGGCCCAGGCCAGCCCTGTGGTCACCCACTTTCCAGAGCCCCCACTTAGCCCCAAAGTCCTGCTGGCTACCTCAGCTGGTGGGGCACAGAGGTAGCAGGGTCTCAACCTGCCACAATCCTGTTCCCCTGACCTGCAGCGAGACCCTCTTCTTCGAGATGGCAGACCGCCTGGCCGAGGACGGTTGGAGGGAGCTGGGCTACGAGTACATCAACATCGATGACTGCTGGTCTGCCAAGCAGCGGGACGCGGCAGGACGGCTGGTGCCCGACCCCGAGAGGTTCCCCCGGGGGATTAAGGCTCTGGCTGATTACGTGAGTGCCTGCTGGGGACGGTGGGGATCTCTGTGTCCCCACGCCACCGTGGCGGGAGAGCTGGGAGGGAACTGAGGAGCCTGGTCCCTGGGAGGCACCTTGGACCCCCCCCTCTTCCCCTCCTTGCAGCTCTCTTTTCCTCGCAGGTCCATGCCCGGGGCCTGAAGCTGGGCATTTATGGTGACCTGGGCACCCTCACCTGCGGGGGCTACCCGGGCACTACACTGGACCGTGTGGAGCAGGACGCGCAGACCTTTGCGGAGTGGGGTGTGGACATGCTGAAGCTGGATGGGTGCTACTCGTCAGGAGAGGAGCAGGCGGAGGGTAAAGACTGCCCGGCCAGCTGGCACTTCTTCCCTCGCTGCTTCGGTCAGGGGGGCTGGCCATCCGCTGAAACGCTTGGCCAGCCAGGTCTTTCCTCGTGTCTTCTGTTGCAGCTCTTGGGCAAAAAGGAGAGAGTTTGAGTGCCCTAGAGCTGGTGTAAGGCAGGAGACCGGGCTGGCCTGGGGTCCCCGTGGCTGGGTGGGATGGGACGCAGGCTGCTGCCAGCTGTTCCCTTCACCAGTTGTCATCTTCTCTCCTTAAGGCTACCCAGAAATGGCGAGGGCCTTGAACGCCACAGGCCGCCCCATCGTCTACTCCTGCAGCTGGCCAGCGTATCAGGGGGGGCTTCCCCCCAAGGTGAGGGTTGTCCCATCCAGTGGCTGTTCCCTGTGTCCCCTGTGCCCTGGGGGAGCTGCAGGAGCTGGGTGCTACACCCCGCTTGTCGCTCTGCCCCTGGTAGGATGGGGCTGCAGGTCCCCAGAGGGGACGTGGCCTCCCTGCCAGGCATCTGGGGACACTTGGGGTTCCCAGCATGGCTAGGTGATGGGAGTTTGGGGGGAAGAAGGCCCTGGGGCATGCACTCTACCCCACTCACCTGGTGTGGAGTTGATCCTGACAGTCTGTTCTTCTGAGACGGGTCCTGTCTGGTTTAAGTGCTTGAAATAGGATCTTCCTCCTAGTAACATTTATTGAGAATTAACTGCATTTATTTATTTTCTCTTCCATTTTCTGAATCAGTCCCAAGCTGCCCTCATTCTTGCAGCTGATCATGTTTCCCCATGGCCTCTGTGGTTGTTTTGCCAGACATCCTATCATACTGGGATGTGGCCAGTCATATTGGGCTATGACTCTGTCCTCTGTCATTACCTGATGTTGCCCTTCTCCAGATCCCCCCGCCTTTCACACATTTTTCTGGACGCTGCTGCTCTCAACAAGTCTGTCTGCCCTCTCTCCCCTACCTTGCAGGCTGGGTCCTTTCTCCCTCCTGCCTAACCCTATGCTCCTCTCCAGGTGAACTACACCATCCTGGCAAAGGTCTGCAACCTGTGGCGTAACTATGATGACATCCAGGACTCCTGGGACAGTGTACTTTCCATCCTGGACTGGTTCTCTGCAAACCAGGACGTGCTGCAGCCGGCAGCTGGCCCCGGACACTGGAATGACCCGGACATGGTGCGGCTGGGTGGTGGGTGCACTGACCCTGGCTGGGGATGGGGGATCTCCAGGGATCCCCTCCTAGGGGCAGGGCAAGGGAAGAGCCCCAAGAGCAGGATCCCTGTTGCTGCAAAGAGGCAAATCTCGTGTCGCCCTTGGATAAGCTGTGGGAAAAGCCTGGGGTTGCAAGGAACCCTTCATCGCTCGAGTATACCTGTCGAGTTGTCCAGGTGTCCTTGTCCTTCCCTGCACAGCCTGAGGGGGGGTAGTGGCGAAGCAAAGGGTGCTGGTGAGTGCATTTGAACGTGTGCTGACAGCTCAGCACCTAGCAGGGGCCAGATCTCCTGACAGTGGTAAGCTGTTTGAGGGGAAATGAAAGTGCGTGTGAGGTTTCCCATAAGTGCTCCCTCCCAGCGGGCTGCAGCATCACCAAGGGTGACAAGCAGACAAGTTTCTAACCCTTTTCTGCCTCTTCCATCTCCCTACCCTCTCCCCTCCAGCTCGTCATCGGAAACTTTGGCCTTAGCTATGAGCAGTCACGCTCCCAAATGGCCTTGTGGACAGTGATGGCAGCTCCGCTCCTCATGTCCACGGATCTCCGCACCATCTCCCCGAGCGCCAAGGAGATCCTGCAGAACCGCCTGATGATCCAGATCAACCAGGACCCCCTGGGAATCCAGGGGCGCAGGATTGTCAAGGTTAGGGGGAAGGTGGACGTGTTTGGGAGAGTAGACAGGAGCAGCGTGGGGTGTCACAATACGAGGGGGAGAGGGAAGTGACGCAGAGAAACGTGAGCTGGAGACCTGCTGGCATAGCATCCCCGCAGGGCAAGGTCAGAAGTTACGGGCCAGCTGTGGTGTCAGCAGCTCTGCCTCACCCACCCATCCCCAATCCTAGGAGAAATCCCACATCGAGGTGTTCCTGCGCCCACTGTTCCAGGCTGCCAGCGCCCTCGTCTTCTTCAGCCGGAGGACAGATATGCCCTTCCTCTACACCACCAGCCTGGCCAAGCTCCACTTCCCCGAGGATGCCGTGTATGAGGTGAGCCCCACTGGCACACTGTGGGCAGCCCCACAGCACCTGGCTCCCGCTCTTTCCAGCTCCCTTCTTTGATACCCTGTGTGTTTTTTGGGGGGAAGGACTCCCACTCCCTGCCTCCAGGACAAAGGGGCAGCTGCCCATTGGGTCACCCTCCTGTTGCCCGCTGCTGTGCCCTGCCCCGCCATGCCACGTCAGTGACTGTGGCTGGGCCTCGGGACAGAAGTTCTGTGGAAATCCTGGTAGCTACCATCTCTCTCTTCCAGGTACAAGACGTGTACAGTGGGAAGATCATCAGTGGCTTAAAGACGGGAGACAGCTTCTCAGTCGTTATTAACCCCTCGGGGGTGGTGATGTGGTATCTCTACCCCACGGCACTCCCGACACAGCCCTGGCACGTTGTCAGACAGCAAGACCCCAGCAAGGGTTTCCACCCGGTCCTCCTGTGACAAGGCTCAGTGGATGGGGGTGTGGGTCAGTGCCAGGGTGAGCCGAGAGACCCTGGGGCACGTGCCTCTTCACTGCACGAGTGCCTTTTGCTGGTGTGCCCAGCAGTGCTGGGAGCGACTGCTCCTCCCGTCCCAGCTTGATGATGTCGACTCAGTCTGCGTAAAGCAGGAATTCTTGTCACCCACCTCCTAAGGGTGTGCGGAAGCCCAATCCCTTGATGATTGCAAAGCCCTTTGAGATTCTCCTGTGGAAGATTCCGTACAAGCAGAGTCCAGCCACACTTGGAGTTTGTCAGCTCTGACACCCGAGCACCTCACTGCTTCGAGCTGGGTACCACGGACTGCTGCGCGTCCTGTTTGACCTGTATGGATGCTTTTGTATCTTTTAGGGTAGTGGCTCCCCCACCCATGTGTGATGGGGTTAGCCTTAAGGATCAGACCTGGTCACCTTCTTTCCTTTGCTATAATCAGCTTGGCTTAGTATCAGGGGCTGTCACTAGGGCTGCATCCTGCCCATGTACTCTCCTGTTGTGGTTTAAACCTGTCTGGCAACTAAGCACCACGCAGCCACTTGCTCATCCTGCCCAACCCTGGGGGATGGGGGACAGAACTGGAGGGGTGAAGGTAAGGGGACTCTTAAATTAAGATAAAAACAATAATTGAAATAAAATAATTATTATAATAGTAATATTAGAGTATACAAATGAGTAATGCACGGTGCAATTGCTCACCACCTGCTGACCAATGCCCTGCCCGTTCCTGGCCAGCAATCCCAGAGGAGAGAAAAATCCCAAACCCACGATCTCTGGAGAGTGAGAGCCAGCTTCCCGGCCAAACCTCCTCCATATACTGAGCAAGACATTGTATGGGAATATTCCATCAGACAATTCGAGTCCACTGCTCTGGGTGTGCTCCCTCCCAGGTTCTTGTGCACCTGCATACTAGCAGGACACGGGAAGTTGAGAAGTCCTTGATTTGGTAACAGCTAAAAACCAGTATATTATCAACACTCTTCTCATGCTGAGTCCAAAACGGAACTATTCTAGATGCTAAGATAAAAAATTAGCTCTATTCCAGCTGAAACCAGGACATGTTCCCATGACCCAGAGCTCCTGGAGGTATGATGGTCCTGTGCAGAGATTCTTTGCTTGGCGGCCTGATCCTGCTGCCAGGATCCTGGAGGCCAGCACTACATCAGCATAGCATGCATGCTAGCATTGTATTCAAGCCCCCCTGGTATTAAATGACAGCAAAGCAAAAACCTCCACTGGCCATGCACAACCCCAGCAGCCTTGCTGCGGTACAGCACCAAAAAGTGCAGAGCTGTAGTGTGTTGTGCACAAAGTGGTGTCAGGAAAACGCTGATGCTCAGTTGAGGTCACCTTTTGAGTTGGGAGACGGTCACGGGTGCCTCCGAGTTACAGGTTGCATCCTGCTCTTGCTCTAACAGGAAATTCCTGCTAAAAGGGGGCTCAGGCCCTCCTCCAGCAGACTGAACACTCAGGGTTTCTCAGAGAAAGGCTCCTCTTTCTCCCTCCGGCAGCCACATCCACAGCTCCATCCTGAGGAGCCTGCACTATTAAACTGGAAGCAAGTGGTGGGACAGATTCTAAAGCCCTCAGCTGCTTCATCTTCATACAGCACACATCCTATGGAGGATTTAGGTGAGACGCTGCCTGCCTCAACTGCCCCAGAGTGGGGTGTAGCATTTGTGAGGACTGCAACCCAGGGAGATCAACGCAAGATTAAGCCTCAGACTAGGGAAATACCACATTTTAGATTAGGGGAGAGAAAAAAAAAAGCTTCCCCTTTCTATGTAGATGCTGGAGGATTCCTGGTTATCCACGCACGCTGGTTCCTGCAGAACCAAATGGCTGATTCTGTTTTCTTCCAGAAACTCTATTGAGTGTAGCAGCAAGAGACTGAACACGATGCTTGCAGTGCTAACAAGAAAGTACAAGTGCACTTCATGTCTGGATACAGGACACTTGGGGAGTGATTGAGACTAATTGAAATAAAGGGGAAGCAAGTCACAGGCTCTCTGTTTCATGTTTATTCAGTGTTGCTAACTATAGCTACTTGGTTAAGGTAGGCTTACAGGATCATAACCTCAAAACAGGAACAACTATGCTAAGAACCAGAACTGGTTTCCTGTCAGTCTGGACTGATGCGTAATAGGAAATGGCTTTCCAGTAGTTACCATCATGTTCAATGGGGCAATGGCTTTCCCTGGCACAAGGGTAAACAGATTTTACAGTCCACAATTAAGTGCCATTTTCCTTTATTATGTATTTATTTTTCCCTCACTGGAAAAAAAAAAAATTGGCTACCACAGAGCTCCTGTTGAAAGAGAAGCCTTCCTGCTGGCAGTAGATATGCACAGGAGGTGCTGTGAATGCAGCCACAGGGAGTAGCAAGGTGGGGACACGGCCCCTGTTAAATGCAGTGTTGTACCTGCCCTGAGGACATGAACACGTGCCAGTTCTGGATCTCTGGGCAAGAGCAAAAGCACAACCCAACCTTCTACCCTTCCCAGGCAGCAAGACCATGAGCCCCACCCTCTTCTCTCCCCACCAGTTACTTAATTCCAGATCCAGTTCAGCCATGCACTAGGGAGAGAGGACTGGCCCACAGCCAGAGACCACCACCCCCGGCTGCCCTTTGTTCCAGCCTTCCATGCAGTAGGCAATAATGAAGGTCAACACAACACACACGCAACACTGACCAGGCAGCTAAAGGTATCAACACTCTTGTATTAAAGTGCAATTCAAAAAGTTACAAACATTCATGGTTGTTTTTTTTTTTGTTTTTAAATATAGTTATTAGAATATCTCTAACTCAGACTTAAAAGGTGTTTATAGATAGGGAAATTTACTTTCCCCCATGCAGGGCTGCTTTAGGAATTTACACTTGCAAGTCATGCAAGCCTGACTTACAGGAGAGCCCTGGCACGCAGGGAAGTAAGAGGGCAAACACTCCTTCCCCTTCACTGTGAAGGCAGGAAGAAGTACAATCACCCCGTATGTAAAGGATCACAAGGGTCTCCGCCAGACTAGAGAAACTCTCTTCAGAGCAGGTTTAATGACACTACGTCCTAAGGAAGAAAGAAAGGTTGTGGCTGAGCAGCCACTCTGCAAGAGAGCCGAGTGTTAGTAACACCCCCACCAGACAGTGGTTCCCAGCTGCGAGAGGGCACTGCACCCCTAAGCAACCCCAACCCAACTCCGGCATCACCGTGCCTACCCCCCATCACTCAGACGCAGGCGTACGCGCGCTCCCGGCAGCGGGCCAAGGGAGAGATGAAGGCTGGTTTTCCCCCGTGGAGCTAGCACACAGCACAAGCTTTCTCAGCAGACTGAGTCAGGGCCTTGGGACCCATCTCCTGACAAGGCTTGTGCCAGGTCATCTTCCTATCGTAAGGTATCTTGCTCCAAGGCAAGCAGCCTCCTGTGCAGCACTGGATTCCATTGCGCTTGAAGAACTGCTGCGTGACAAAGGATCACTGAAGAGATATGGGACCTGCTTCTAGGAGAGGGAAAGGAAGACTGATTTGCACACCTGCCAGTCTCTGCTCACTGCCCTGCAGCACACCTTTGTTTGCTTTTCTATTCCATGTCTACAAAGGCAGGCTGACTGGGGCCCGGCCCCTTTCCTCTTGCACAGCCAAATGCCTCAGTGTCTCTTAGGATGCACTTCCCGAGTTCGTCACACCATGACTGTTAGTCCGGGACACAAAACACACGCTTCTAACATGATACAGGATTTCCAGAGTCCCATCTTACGCTGAGCTGTGCCAGAATTTAAGGAAATTTAACACTTTTCTGGGGCACCCAAGGGTCTATGCAAGGAACCTCGTGGCTCTCTATACCTTACCCCTTGGACAGTGCTTCAGAAGTAGTCAAAAGTTTGGCATTCCAAGTAGTTTTACTCCAAGATCCCAGAGCCTTCGTATTTTAGTCCTAGATTAGCGATGTTGTCTACTGGTGGTTTAAGAAGTCCATCTCTCATCCTCAAGCCAATGGCAGAGCAAAAGGTTAGTGCTTCAACCCCATGAGATAAAGCAATAAGCAGGAAAGTGCTATTGTTTTGCTTTGTATTGCCACTGACTTAATGTTTAAGGAGGGCAGGTGCTCAGCTGCCCAGCACTACATATACTGTATATATACAAAGGGACCTAGAGATATGCTAACCCGAGGGATAGTAAGAACCAAGTCGTCTTCAGAGAGAGAGGGTGTGGGAGGCTGGTTGCAATTTCCTTCTGTTAGTTGTTCTTCTTGTCCTCAGGAGGTGTATAAGGAGGTGGCTGATCCTGAAATGAGATACAGTAGAGTCAACAACCCTGCTCGTTTTATGACGAGATCTTCTCGGGCATTCCCAGGCTTGGCTTACAAGAAATGACTGCTCTACAGTGAGCTACAGAGCCAGGTGCTGTGTTTTAAGCTGTCATTTCATCACAGCATTCCTCTCCAGTATCAGTTATGCTCCAGGATATATGCTGCCTCCCATAACATTTCTAGTAAAGGTCCCCTGAAAACCAGCTAACAAACAATCTGTTGCAAACAGACCATTTAATCCGTCTTAATTGCCATCCCCTTTTCACTGCCAGGGCTTTGTCTCTGTTGATGTTCATAGCTCTGACCCAGCAGACAGCAGGCCCCTGGGCTGAAGGCCAGCTTTGCTGCTCCATCAGTCCCCAGCTCACCACAGAGTCACGCGAGGCAGCGAAGGGCACAGGCAGACTGGCTGTCACATACCAGATTCAGGCTGCAGCTTACCTCCCTGCTGCCACTGACTGAACAGTGAGAGACCTCCCTGTCTCCACGCAGCCCAGAAAAAATAAATGGAAGAGAAACCCACATGCTCCCATCCTTAAGTGACCTGCTCTTCAACTCTCCCCACTTCCAGGACCAAGAGAAGCCGAGAGCTCTGTGTTCTCTGTGCCCATGTAAATTTGCTATGCTTTTAAGAGTAAGACAAGTACCAAATGGCTGTTACTGGACTAATCTTAAGGTCCTCCTCCTTTCCTGACTAAGGATTTAACAAGCCTTCTTCATGGAACCAACATCCATGCCTCCCTCACAGGAAAAATGCTTACTTTCTGTGCACTTTCAATATGAAGGCATGCTAGACTTTGCTAAGAAAGGAAACCGCTGTCTCTACTAGTGACAGAAGAGGGAACAGGCACACGCCGACCACAGGCACAGTACTCACCATGGGCATGTACACATTGTGTGGGTTGGCAGGGTTGTAATATGCACTGGAAGCAGCTTCCATGGCCTTACTGCTCCCTAGAAAGGAAAGAAGCCATCTTACATGCCTTAGGCAGTGACCTAAGCCTCAGAGCCTTTCTCCTCAGCCATAGCTTTTGAGGAGGCAACACGGATCCAAAGAGCCAAAAGCAACTGCAGCAAGCTGGGTCTGAATTCACAGCAGTTCAGGAAAGCTGCAAGCTGGCCAGAGCTGACCACAAGCTGTGCAGCGCAGAGCTGAGCAGCTTCCCTCACACTGTTATCTCAAATAACAGATCAAGATGCCTTTGAGCTCCTGCAACATCAGCTACTCCACCCCATGCTGTGCCCACAGTGCCACCCACAGCCCAAGCCTCCCCACACCCTTTTGCACCCAGACCCTGGCAGCCCCCCAGTCCCATTTACCTGGCATCCCTGGGCTCACCCAGGCTGGGGGAGCTGAGGGAGCTGAGGGTCCTGCAGGAGATGGCCCGGAGTAGGGGGGAGGAGGTGGCACATACATGGGGTTCATGTTTGGAAGTGGTGGGTAAATACCTGAAAAAGATGACACCAGATTGATGCTTTGGATGGTGACAGTGGGACAGAGGGGAAGATGGCTCACAAGCCCAGTAGTGCATCAGACCTGGACAAGGTGTGATCAACAGCACACGACAGATTTTACAAGGACAAGGTTTCGTGGTGGAGACAAAACTACAGTAACCCTCACCATACCACTGTGATTTCTTTACAACTAATAACAAACACACTCTGCCAGTCATCATTACACAACTTCCAAACCTGGAGTCTGGGCATATGGATATCCCATGGGCTGTGGAGCAGGTCCATAGGCATTCATCGGAGGTGGTGTATAAGTATATGGTCCGTTTGGTGGTGGAGGAGCAGCGTAGCCCCCCGGCGCAGGTGCGTAACCCCCGGGAGCCGGCGGGACGGGCGCGTACCCACCGGGCATGGGTGTGTAGCCATAGCCAGGGTTCTGGAGAGGAACGCCGCTGGAAGCTGAGGAGCACATGGTTAGTAAGCCAGACATCCTTTTGTCACAACTAAACGTACAGACTCAAAGCAAAATAGTCTTGTTCATGCCGCAACACTTCCTTTCATCTAAATTCACTATACGGTCCTGGCGTAGCACTGTGCTTGAAAAGCATTAGTCTCCTCGCTGCTAGTTCACAGGGTGCTAAAGGAGACCAGCTGCAAAAACACTAGGTATCAGGTACCAGTCCCATCACAGAGCTGCCACTGCTGGAAGAAAAGACCATTCTCAAGCAAGTATCAGTAGGGTGGTTCTTTTTAAACCTTCTTATCAGAAAAAAAAGGACATTTTTTTCCCCCATCTGAAAGGTTTAAATAGAAGTTAATTTATTTTTTCCTTCTCCAAATGTTTATGTTTAATTCCCCCATCTTATTACTCCACTATTACAGAACTGAGCTGAGGGTAGGTAAGTAATTAAATTTTTCACAATCACATATTTCAACTCTATTCCAGGAGGAATAAGGTTCTGTAGAAAAAGGTGATCTGCCTCAGAAGCAAAAACCTCAGAATATTCTGACTGCATAAAGCACTAAGGTGAAATAAAGAAAAAGGATTGGAAGGGAAAACAGAAGTTTCCCTGGAAAGAGAAAAAATACGTTGCTGTGGAAAAGTGCATAGAGTACCCTTCTCCCCATGAAGTTCAAAAAGAGCACTATTCTCTAACTAGCTCAGCCAGCCATGGGGGAACTGCAGGCTCTGAAGATCCCTTACCATTAGAGGCAGCTTTGAACATCAGCTCTCCAAATTCAATGGCTCCTCCACTGCTGAAAGTCAGTTTAAATGTTCCCTGCCCTTCCCAGCCACCTAGGAGACAGAATTACAATTGAAAGAGACTATTAACCTCCTCAGTAGCAGTCAAGACAGCAAAACAGTTAATACTCCAATTATTTTTTTTCTTCTTTATTTCAAAACTATTTTGCATCCTATTGCCAGAGGGGAAAAAGTCACGGCACTGCTATCAGATGTCCCTCCAAATAGTATCTCAAGAATATCAGGTATTTATTTCTTTACCTTTTGAAAGACAATCCCCACTATAGCTACATAGAAGCAGTGTACTCGAGATACTAGGCTGTTTTGTTCTAGAACCTAATAATGAACACAGTGTAAAGAAAGAACACTTAATTCACTGAGGACTTTGATTGAACACCCTCAAATTAAGTTTTACTGCTGACCTCAGCAGACTACAGATAGGGATCTGCAACGCAAGCTAGGTTTTAAATGAAATGCAACATTTTAATCTCTTTGACCTACAGAAGGTCAGATTATAAATACTTAGGTAAAATAGCAATTTTTCAGAAAAAAAATAAGTAGGTGACGATACTGCAAGATACGTAAGTGCTTTGTTTTGTAGTGGCTTTTTTGGTGGTTTTTGGGGGAGTGTGGTGGTGTGGTGCATGTGCTTTGGGTTTTTCTGTAATTTTAGAAAAAAGATGGTATTTAAATAAAAGATTTCATAAATTTTTATCTTCCTTGTCTAACAATTACATTAATAGAAGTAGAGACAGTCTCTTGGGGACAAAGTAGAAATAAAGTATAGAAATATAACAAAATCCCCCATGAATAAAGTCATCCTCTTGGAGATTCCCCTCCTTAAAACCACTGTCTTAGTATGATTTCAGCCTGAGAAAGTGGGCAGGTCCACAATCCCCAGAGGACCCAGTCACTGTAAAACACTGTTACAAACAGAAAACAAAAGCATAAGCTCTCCAGATGCCATCAAAATGCATGTAAACAAATTCCAGGGCTGAAGAGAGAAGAAGTCTTGGTTTTAATCCCTGTTTATTTTGTGCAATTCTTCATGTTTCGTCAAGACCATGACTGTAAGTCTTCCCACAGTTTCATAATCAAAGCGGGAACAAAGCTAAATCAATGACACACAGCAGCACCATAAATGCATGCAAACGTACCCCAGTTGGTAAGTGGCTGCTGACCTCCAGAAAACAAAAAGTGGTTGCCAATTCTGCCTGTCAATGCCAATTACTGGTGACTCGGTCACTTACCCACCCTTCCAGGTCAAAGACAGAAGAAAATACGGACATACTCAGCAAGACAGAAGTTACAGCATTAAACAAATTAATCAGGTGAAAGTCAGTTACTAGCTCTGGGAGCAGAAAGTGACTCAGAAGCAGTGCCTTGAAGTTCAGAAGACACAAGTTAGCTCAGCGTGAACGTGCTAGCTGTACTGCTACAGCTACCCTGTCCGTCTCCCCTGTGCACATAAGCCATCTGTCTGATGTTCAGCAGAAAAGGACTTGTGACACTTGGGAAGAGTTCAGTCTACAAAGCACGGGCACATACCTCCTGCCTCGGCCTGAATCTGTCCTTTGATGTAGTTGGCAGAGAAAACAGGCTGCTCGATTGAGCATCCTTTCACCAAATAAAACGGCATCATGAAAGACAGCATAGGATCCTTGCCCTTCGAGACAAAGATCATCTGCAAGACATAAGGGAATGCCTCTGAATTACTTGAACTAGATATAAAGAGTGGTCATGGAGTTCTAGCTGTAGCAGCATCCAAAAAGAGGATAACTTAACTCCTAGTGTCAGTACGCATTGTGTAACTTCACAGCTTTAACACTAAGGGATTCCAAACAGATTTGATGGCACGTGGCTCACTTGCCTGCAGCATGTACGTTGCAAAATAATACACTAAAAACACACATGCACATTTACACAGTTTTATTGTTCTGCTTTTTATGGATAAGCTATGACAGTTTTCAAATATAGCAATACTGACTGATACATTATATAAAATATGTTCTCTAGACAGGGATTCCAGGACTGCACATGCCTTTGGGATTGTGACACAGGCACAAACCATTCTATTTCCACCTTCCCTTTTCCAACCTAGTACTCTCAGTGGTTCCACCCATAACAAAAATCACTTCTAGCACCAAAGGTTTCCAGTCTAAAGTCTGTAAGACCCATTGAGAAAGAAGCAGTCCTCCTGGCATCAGACTTACCCTGTAAGGGGTGAGATACAGTATCCCCTTCTTGGTGCCTTTGAAGGCTTCATGCTTGACCGTTATGTCACTGAAGGAGAGCTCCACATCTTTACACTGTTTGAGAACACTACAAGAGGAAATCGGACAAATTGGAGAGACAAACTCAGCAACAGCTCAGCTCTGACACACACACCCATCACACAAGGAGGGGGATAGCACACCAGGAACTCTGAATATTATCCCAAAAGACTCAGTTCTGATGGGGGCCCTGCTGTTTTTCCTTTGAACAGAGGGATGATTTATGCAGAGTAGAAGAATTCATCTCACCTGTGACAACCCCTGCTCTTCCTCCACAAAGGGAAGCTTTAAATGACAGTTTCTCTTTCTGTCTCTAAAACCATCAGGCTGAGGAATTCCTCCTCTGCATGAGACGCACCTCAGCCCAAAGGTCAGGGTACAGAAAGGGCTGAAGTGTCTGAGACCACATCCCTGAAGCCAAGGTATCATCTCAGAGCACACACCTTTCTCTCCAAGTCCATGCTGAAATCCAGGACTGGCCACAAGTCCGGAAAACAGCAGTGCTGCAACACCACACCCACTGTGCAAACGGAGGAAGTTGCTTCACTAATACCCGCCCTGCTGACCCTGCTTCACATGATTCAAGTAAATATTTGTAATAAACAGCACCATGCTAAGGAACAAAACGAGGAGCCAGTAATGTCAGCAATAAGGTTATTATTGTTGGATATCTATGGGAACATTAGCAAAGTTTGCTCATCACACAAAGCGAGATGAGAACTGTGAACACTGCAGGGCCATGGGTATGGAGGTGCCTGAAAATTTAAACACATTTTCAAAAAAAATGAAAGAGTCAGCTTGGGAAAGCATGACACTGAATCTACAGGGCAGATCCTAAACATACCACCCAGTAGGAAAATTTGCAGAACAAACAAAAGAGCTTTGGGGGTGACGAGCTTCCAGCGTCTTACAGTGGCAGAAGAATCTGAGGTGGTTTTTTGGTTCAAGAGCATGGATAAAGAAAACACAAAACCCTAACCCAACAGAAGCCTGGTGAGGCCTGATCTAAAAATAATCCTTTTGTACTCTGATCAGCGTATTGTAGAAGTGAGACCAAGTCAGGAAATTGCAAAATTATTGGGGGAAGGGAGGAATCAGCAGGGCCACCATGTGGGAAAACAGCGAAAAGCCCTGTAGTTTCAGGTCCAGTGCTCTTCTAACAGTGTAGATGTGGCTGAAAAATGCAGCTATCCAAGGAGGAAGACACCAAAAAGTCTAACTTTAACGAGGAAAAAAACTTGACCAAGAAATTCTACTGGAACATTACTCCACAGTTGAGCTAGATGCAGCTAGATGGGAGGGACTGACTGACATGGCAGCAGAGCTCTTCCCATTTCCAAGATGCAAATGGGAAACATTTCTTCTAAGCTAAATAAAACCAACTCCTAGACATCTTGGATCTTACCAGAACACTTTCTCAACCATGTCCTGTAGCAGCGTTTCATGTCAGTTTGCCTCATTGGGAAGAAATGCCTACGCTGTCACTGTAATGTTTAGTCCTTCCCAGCTACTCACACAAGCAAATAACACACAGCCACCACCACTGAGCATGATTAGGCTGCTGAACTGGTTTGCACACGAATGCCCGTCCAGGGCGGTCACTGGAGGGCAGTGAACCCCACGGAGCCACGCTGCACCCACCTGTGACCAAGCAGCATCTCAAAGAATGACTCGAGGTCAAGGATAGAGACATCTCCTTTAAACCAGCAAAAGCCCTACATGGCAAATGACTTCCCTGAATGAAGTATCAGCAGTCGGTTATGAACTCAACAGTATTTGGAGCATGCTTTGGAGTGTATATTTCCTACTGTTTACCAGCCCCCAACCAATCTGATGATCCTTCACCAGGTCTCTGGTTTCTAGGATTTCTGTAGCCAAAGCCGGGGCGCGGGGAACACCCGAACACAATGAGAGCGAAGCCCAAGCCCGTCAAGCTGGTCTGTCGATACCCACTCGGGGCGCGGGCGGGCGTGGGGCAGCCGGCGGCACTTTTGGGAAGAGAAGCGCTCCTCCCGCGCCGAGGAGGGGACCTGCTCTGCCCGGTGAGCTCTCACGGGGAAGTCTTCCTTACTTCGAATTGAAGTGATTAAGACCCCCTACCTTAAATAGCCTCTGCCTCTCTGACATCACTAATCGCATGTTAAAAAAAAAAAAAAAAAAAAAACACAAAAAAAAACAACCACAAAAAAAGCCCCAAAACCACCAGAAAAGCCAATTCCTCATCTTTTACAGGCGGAGCACCTCCGAGCTCCGGCGGTGAAGGGGGGGGGGGAATGGGGGGGGGGGCGGCCCCGCCGGCCCCAGCCAGGGCCGCTCCCCACTGCCCGCCCCAGCGCGTTCCCGCGCCGCCGGGGGGACCCCAATAACACAGCCCGGGGCCGGGGCCGATCTGCCTCCCCGCCCCCAGCCCCCGCTGCCGCCCCCCAGTACCTCTCAGCATTGGGGATGACGACACCTCCCTCCTGCGAATGATTCCTGTTCAGCGCCATCTTGTCGCCACCCCCCCCCACCTACCCCCCCGCCCACATGACCCTGTGACGCCACTTCCCCCCCCCTCCCGTGACGCCTCCCGGCGAGCGCGAGGCGGAAATGAGGCGGCGGCCGGTTGCTAGGCGACGCGAGGTTTAATGGCCGCCGGGGGCGGGGACGCTACAGCGGGCGGCTTCCCCGTGACGGGCCGGCGGCACCATCTCGGCTGGGCCCGAGGCGGCCGGGGAAGGCGCTTTCCCAAAACACCCCTCCCGCACACCCCCCCCCGTGTCCGATGTCAGTCTGCAGCGCAATTTTTTGTTGTCTTCTGCTCGAGTAACCCTCGCAGCGTCGCTTTTCGGGACCTCCTCTGGGGTGGGCGAGGTGCTGGCGGCGCGCTTTCGGCAGCCTTGCCCCCGGGACGCCTGCTTACGAACCGTAGCAAACCGTAATTAACTTGTCCTCACACTTAATCACAAGTACTAGTGCCTACACGTAGCGCTGCTCGCTCTTCTTGCTCTCGCTGCTCACTGCATAACCGCGCCGGCCGTGATGTTAGTTCCTGTCTTAGCCTAAGTGGAATGTGTCCAGTGTAAAAAAAAAAAAAGACCTTTGCAGTTTACCGCACCTTGCAAAATTTTTCTGGTGAGCGGCCTACGTGGTGGAAGAGTTTGTGAGTCTGGACACGCGGAGCGGGTACCTCCGGTGTAAAATTTAGACTCCACCCTGCTATGGCACCGTTGAAGCGGTACCTCTGAGGGGAACATCTGACTTGCTGTGGTCATCCTGGGATGGAGCTGGTGGCACACGAGAGCAAGGATCTGTTCAGGCCTTTCCCAGCTGCTCCATCAGCTGAGGCTTTTTCCCAACAGTATCTCCCGCTGTCAACACAACATGGGAAATTTTCTGTATTTGCCACTTGTAGACTTCCTGGTACATACGCAGATACTGGTAGGATATTTGCATGAGCAGATGGCAGTGAGGAATAGCTGAGCTTGCTTTCCTCAGTGAGCTTTTATGGATCCTTTAGAAGTGGTCAGTGATCCAACAGGAAATTAACAGAGCAGAGCTTAAAAACCACCTTATTACAAACGAACAAAAATTCCTAAACCTATAGGGCAAAACACACAACCTTGTCCCTGCAATCTGCGTTACAGGCAAAGGAAAATATCTCTCTTCTCTTGCAGGGGGTCTGCTTTGCTTTCATTAAGCAGGGCAGCGTTGGCTCTCTGCCATAACCCTTGTTTGGGCCAAAAAGTCAGAGAAATGGCCATACTGCAGCCCAGGGTGATGCAGCCCGGTGGCAAGAGGGTTCGTCTAGAGCAGTCGCACGGCCACCACAGAGCCGTGAGAGAAAGCAAGTTCAGGGAACACCTCCGCATGCCGCCGCTAAAGACGATGGAGCGCGGCTTCACGCTTCAGTGCGGTGAAGAAGAGGAGCTCTGGGGGAGTCTTTCCTATTGCACTGGGTTTAAAACATTGTGTAGAGTCTAGGCAGGAGCAGCCACAGCAGAGTAGGCTGAGAAGATGCTTCTGGCAACTGGTGATGCTGGGGACACCTCCACACCTGGCCGGCTGGTGGAGACAGGCTGGGAGGAGACTTTGACCCCGCGCTGGGCTGTGGGTGGCCAGTGTGGGTGACAGGATGGGCAGCAGCGTAGCAGGATGGTTTCTGCAGGGTCTGTGGTAGGGCTGCTGGCACCAGTGCCGAGGCTTTTGTTCTCTGCAGGATGAAGGAGGCCTGGTGCAGGTGGGAAGGCGGGTGCAAGGCTGTGTGCACACGCTGCATACAGGGACACCGGGAGCCATGAATGTGGGTGGAGAAAGGACTGCGAAGGGCCAGTATGGCCCTCACATCCCAGTGGTCCTGAGAATGGCTGATTTGGTTGGACAGGTGGCAGCGAGAGTGAAGAGACCTTTGCTTTGCAGTGACAGCACCGGAGAAGGCCACAAGATGGACATATGCTCGTAGACGGTTTTGTTAAGGCTTGGAGCACCCTCTTCCCAGCCCTGGCCCCTGTACAGATCTGTCAACCAACCTCAGGCTTGGCTTGAGTCCTCCTCCACTGTTCCCTTGCTGGGACCTCTCCCTCCCTCCTGTGCCAGCCTTTCCCCCATCCCAAACCCACCACACTTCCCCTTACTCCCAGCGGTGCCATCTTGTGCCATGGCATTCTGCACATGCATTTTAAGTGCAATGGGCTATTCTCCTGGAGGTGCCGATCCCTGCCAGCCATGTGACATGCTAGGTGACAGGTAGACACTGCCAAACTCAGGACATCTTGTGGTTTTCCCCCTTCCTCCCTTCTGCCCAGCCAGCCCTGACGCTTTCCACCTGGCTCAGGGTCATCCAGAAAAGAGGTGACGCTGGCTAGACATAAGCATATAGTCTTCAGTAAAGCTGTGCCTCTTTCTGCTCCTGGGTCTTTACCTTCCCTCCCTGTCCCCTCCAGGGGAAGATAAAAGTTTCTCAAACCGACACAACAAAAGCACATTGATAAAGAGGAGGTGTGAGAGCTGGGAGAGGGAGGAAACAGCCTGGAGAAGAGGAAGAGTCAAGTACTTAGAGAAATGAAGGAGATACGGAAAGGGTTGAGAGCAGAAAAAGTGAGATAACAAAAGGAAGGAAGCTATGGAGGGCTAAAAGGGAATGTGGACAAAAGCATAGGAGAGGAGGATGTGGAAGCTGGGAGGGCAGTAGGGGGGTGGAGGAGCTGCACAGGCTGAGACTGCTGGAGCAGCAAATGCCATTTCGGTGAAGAGGAGGAGATATCTCTTGTGTCCCCAACACCAGTGGAGACCCAGGGAGACACCCTGGCCCAGTGCTTCTCAATCCACGGCTCTTTAGACTCCTCCAAGATCCTGAAGGCCCCGTGCCAAGCTGGGCTGTCCCTGGGGCAGCTCCTGGCAGGTACCCCCCGTGGCACTGTCTTCCCCGCACTCCCACAGCAGAGGGGCATGTTGTGGGGGAAAGGATTGGCTGGGACCTGCTCAGTGCTGGTGGAGAGAGACCACTGCAATGGGAGGTGAGATGGGGTGACCTCAGGACAGCTTGGTCTGATCTGCACAGGATCAAAAGCCTGTGACATAAGCATGGCTTTTGATCTTAGCGCCGGACAGGGCAAATGCACTACCTGCAGCAGGAACATGTTCTTTTCCTCTGGGTTTTGCTTCTTTTGGAAAATATGGCTATTTTCCCCAAGTACTTTGATGCTTTTCAAATAGATGCTACAGCCCAAGAACTAATTCTGCCTCCTCCCACTGGTCACTTCCCCTGAACCACAAAACATGTCAGTCTGTCACTTCTCCCATCTATCCACTTCCAAGCTGCCATTTCCCCTTGGGAAGCCACAGCAAGAAATGGGGATAAAATGCTGGGCTGCCATGCCCTCAGACCAACCAGCTGCCTTCCCACCTACTGAAGACCCAAGAGAAATCTCTTCTGTCGTCACTTGAAGACACCACATGCACCGACTCCACCATCTCTCCTGGAGTCTCTCCTTGCCATGTCTCCAAGGGATAAAAACAGGACCACAGCATGCCCCACACCTTCCACCTCCGAAGCCTTCCTGCCCCCAGAAATTCTTCCCCACCATCCCTATTTCCCCCAGGAAAGACACACAGCTGAGACACAGAAACAAGAGAAAGGAAGATGACAGACAGTCCGCTGTGCAAAAAAACAAACTGAGAATGAGGACACTCTGGGAAGGTTGGGGGAGACACCTTTGGTCCCTCTCTGGCACATAGGTGGGCACACGCATGCACGCACACACTCACGCTCGCACCCTCTCACATACACGGAGAACACACCACATGCTTCTGAGACAGGCCCATGGTAGAGTCAAGGGTAGCAGGGGTGGGTTATCCTATCCAGAGACACCAGGTGACAGCGGGGTGGGGGGGTCATTCACAGGTTACTTTCATGGTTTTCCTCTGTCTCGACAGTCATGGGGGGCAGCCCGCCGTTGTCATTCAGCCTCTTGGCCCTGTAGGTCTCATAGTGGATGTTGTGGGTCACTTCTTTGAGATCCTGAAGGTGGGTCCTGCAGAGGGCAAAATGAAGATGGGGGTGGAAAGAGGATGTGATAACCAATATCAGCACAGTCAATCTTCTGATGATCATTTTATTCCTCAAGATAAATGGAAAATTTCTGGCTCATGAGCATACCCCTGTTTCTGCATATCCATCATACACAGCTGGGAGCTGGACCATCAGCATCCAAGAATGCAGGATGCAGGATATGGGCTGAAATCCCTGGATGTGCTTGCCAGTGTCCTTCCCCTCTCCCATGTGTGCCAGTGTGACAGCTACTGGCCGTTCTGGTGTGTCAGAGCAGACATGGGCATATCTCATCTGAAGCAGTGGTGAGACAAGGAAGCACCAGGAGGGTGTATTGGGTCCACTGCAGGCCATAACCTCCAGAACGCTGCCGTGAGCATCATCCCTAACCTCCATAGAAAGCCTGAGGGCTTGGATTGCTCTATGCTTTGTGATGAACACTTGGTTAGGATGTTTTCACTGGAAGACAGGGAAAGCACGTCTGCTGCAGAAGGTATTGCAGAACAAAAAGAGGGCAGTAGGGTGATGTCAAAGCATTGTACCCAGCCAAGTGTCTCAATCCCACCATACCCACAGGTGGAATGAGGCACAGGGCTCTGTCTATGGAGTGTGTTTCCCTTATTTTCTCATTTTTGGTGTTGTTTTAAAACCTCACTGTATTTATAGGGAACAGAGGTGACCCTGGATCTGCAGCTCTTCTACAGAATTTGGGGCAGATATCACTTGTGCTGAGACAACTTAATGAAACAGAGTAGAAATAAGACAGGACAATGAAAGGTGAATGAAATACAGAGCTTTTCAGTTCCAGGTCCTATGTTCCAGCACATCCCTCAACCTGGTGGGACACATGGTCTAGGATGTGAGAGTCACCTTTCTCACTGACTCCAGCCCAGACCTGTTGTCAGCAACAAACAGAAGTTGTTGCAACCTAATATCCTTAGTGGGATGTAAGGGGAGTGGTAGGACCCTGCTTTTCTCCAGGCATCCAGCTCATACGTGAGAATTAGCACCTACTTGACATGGTGGTCATGTCACTAGAAGAGGCACTATAGTATTTACCCCTTAACTCAGACCAACCCTACCCCACATAAGCTTTCACTGCCTGAAATGTACTTTGTTTTCCTTTCCATAGGGGCTGTTCCACTCTAAGAAGGTCTCAGGAAAAGTCCCTGCTCATCAAGAGCAAACTGGTGCATGACCATGGCCTTACCTGATGACAAAATCTCGAAGTAGGGCAAATTCACAGTGAGTGAGGTTTTCCACTGAAAAGAAAGGAAGCAATTGTTATGTCTGATTTTTTTCAACAACGCCTTTGTTGCTACAGAGCATGGGAAGGTCATTGCCATGGGGCAGGTTCCAGGTGGGCTGAGCCTGCGCACTTCAGAAAGGACAAACAGTTGTCTGAATACCACACTGTCAGGCATTGAGGAGACATGCTAAGCGGTACTGAGCAGTCACATGTGAATTTTCATTTGAAAATCAAGTCAACCTCAGGAACTCGGTTTCATACACTGTGGTGTTTGGAGTGGCTCCAGCTTCTGCCAGTTGGCAGTAGTGGTACCACACTGACCATGGCAGTTCCTTCCCAGAAGAGCTATTTGAGAATTCTCTTGCTTAGTTTCAAAAAGTTTATTACGAAAGGGATGCGAAGGTAGCCATGGGACATGTTATCTGGACCCTTCTCTATTACTGGAGCCTGCAAAGATATTTTCCCCTCCCAGAAGCAAGGGGTTTTTTACCTTCAATGATTCCCCAAGGTGTTTTCCTGCCCAGGACTCTTTTGCCGTTCACTTGGTACTCCTTGTCGCTACCCACTACTGCGAAGGGCATGCTTTCCTGCTGGGGAGAGACATGTGGAGAAACCTATTGATCCCATTCCAGAGAGCAGCACCATCATTGTTCCCTGTCCACCTTTCCTCCTCTCAGCTCACCAAATACAAGACCTTCTCCAAGGGAAGAGGTTCTCCAGAGCGTGTTGCTCTGAATGTCCTCCTCACCCGTCAGCGCTATCCCTAGCATTTCGGGCCATTGCTTTACAGTTATCCTTGCACCCCCGGAGCTTAATGGGTAGCTTAGGGCCAAGGCTCTGGAGCAGAGGGGCAGAGCTTTTCTGCACCCATCTCCAGCATTTCTGAAGAGGGGGATGAGCAGAGAAGTACTACCTTGGCATACAGCTCAGGGTTGCTCATATGGATAGTTTGTGGTGTTTCTCATCAAGTTTATTGTTCTTCACCAGAAGAAGGAGAGGACTCAAAATAATCCTCTCCAACAAGACACATGAACATTCAACAGGTTTAGTGGCTGAAATGGTTGTACTGAGGAAGGCCAGAAATTGGGTAGGGGTGCAGCTTTCCTGGGAAGTGGGACAGTAGGTGAGGCTATTGGGGACCCAGATATCTCTAAGCACAGGGAGAATCCATCTGTTTCCAGAACACAGGGTGCAGGAGACCCTGATATCCATAAGGTTGTGCAGATGTTCATAGATTTACTCTGCTTTATAGAAGTCCATGAGTCTGGGGAGGGACTGCAGTTATCACAGGAATGGAGATTAAAAAGCAGTTTATTTCTTATGTGTGAGACTGTCCAAACTTAGGACATGATGCTGAAGTGCAGAACAAAATGTGGTGCCTTCCTCAAAACCAGTAACAATTTGGAGAAGAAGCAAAACACATCTAGTCTTCTCCAGAATGTGTGATGTATTGCCGAATGGGAAATGATTAATTAAGATGTGTAAGGTGGGAATTTCTTTTGGGGCTGACAGCTGGGTTAGCTAAAAGGGCAAGTGTTAGGCTGCAATGCAAGACTCCTAGACTTTCTTGAGGACTGCCACGGAAGCCAATCTATTTTCATTAATGGCCTAGCCACAAAAATGATGAGAGGGATAATTAAGTGCACTGGCATCACAAGGCCAAGAAGTGTTGTCAGTACACAGGCAGACTGGGTTATTATCTGAGAAGATGTAAGTTTGAGGCACAAAGAGCAGCATTTAGGTGAAAACATCAATAATTTCTGCTACAACTTCGGAGCTCATGAATGAGCAGTGACTGAAGGAGTGGAAGGACCCCATCTGCTAGTCAGTTACAAGATGACCATGTCCCACCAGCGTAATGCATTTGTTTAAAAAGCACATGTGGTACATGGGCTTGGCAGTTCAGATCCCAGAAGGGATGGGGGAGTATGGGGTACCAGCACCAGTGCTAGAAAATCAAACTGGAGTAGGGACAGAAAAAAGTGACTAGGAGCATAGACTGCTGAGGAATGGGAAGCTCATTCAGACAGGCTTGCCTCCTTTAGCTGACCAGGTCAGCAAAAGGTAATACTGTTCTCTATAGATACCTTGAGTGGTGAAGGGGACCACTAGGTAGGAGACCTGTTTGAGTCAGCGTTGGGACAAGGACGCAGATATAATTCTGGGTACAACCTGGCCATGAACAAACAGGCTGGAATTTAGGAGACAGTTTCTAACGCTCTGAGGAGGGAAGGATGGGACAAGCCTCACGGGACAAGTCAAGTTTTGTCAGCAGATGAGAGGGCTCGTGGGGCAGTTGTTTGGGACAGAGGCTGGACTCAGTCACACACCAAGGCCCTTTGGTCCTTAACAGTGGCCAAACAGAGCATTCAGCAGGAGGAGGTGAAACATAGTCATTCCTCACTCAGCCTTCATAGCACCCTGTAGTAACAACAGGGACAAATTAAGCTGGGAAGGAGGAATGACTATCCCTTACATCCATCGCATCTTTCATTCAGGGACCATGAAGCACTTAAATCTTTCTAGTGACACATGTCTGGTTTACATTCATTAAATATGACCAGCCCTCATCCCCTCTCCCACAATAAAATCTTTCCTACCCTGATTTTGTCGTTCTCTGTTTTATCCTCCAAGTCCTCGTCAAATTCTTTCTGGGGGTAAAACTCGATCCCATTTACTTCTAGCTCTTTGCGCACCTGGGCAGAGAGACATTTTGGAGCACAAAGCAACACACACCTGAAGGGAAGACAGACAGGATGGCCGGGCAAACACATCTGGGACATCCTTCCAGCGGGCAGGGCCTGGAGGGATTGTCCTCAGGGAATTGTGCAGCAAAGTGAGGACACATGGCAGCAGTGAGGAGTCTTTCTTCCCCAACCCTGGTTACTTGTCTGGCTCTGCAGTTCCCGTGACAGAGCATATCACGAGATGGCACAGGGGTACACACATTTCTTCCCCTTCTGACAGATGCCCTCAGAGCCATAAACAGATGAATCTTCAGGACTTACCCACCAACCCATCGCTGGACTCTGTGCATGCCCTGGGGACTGTGCTGCAATCCCAGGAAGAAGGATACCGCTCATTTCTCCCACCTCCAAGCCAGGGCAGGGAAGGGTCCCATGCAGGAGATGAGATACTTACCCTTTGTTTGAATTCAGTCTTCTCCTCCAAGGTCATGGTGTCAGCCTTGGCAATAACTGGGATGATGTTCACTACCTTGCTGAGATGTTTCATGAACTCCAGGTCCAAAGGCCGCAGGCTGCAGCCCAAGAGGGAACAACATGGAAGGGGTCACTTTACCCTCCTCGCCTTTCATCTTAGTGACCCTTCCAGCACCAAGAGTCAATGAAATCTCCCTTGTACATACCCCATTTGATGCCATCATGTTCTCATCTCCTTCTTCCTATCCATCCTGCCCTCTCCCAAAAATCACAGTGGCATTTCTCCTGCCCTTGTTGTCCTAGACCCTTTCAAGCCCCTCAGCACCCGAAGTTAAGCTAAACAGTAGCCAGCCCCGCAGGCAGGACCCCTGGGTCCGTGGCTGAGACAGAGCAGTGCAGGGTATATATCTGGCACAGAGGCACAAACAGCTTGAGGGAGGATGAGGGACTATGTACGTACGAGTGGCCCGTGGGGGAGATGAAGTAGAGGCAGCAGTGCACTCGCGTGTCTGGAATTCGTTTCTTCCTCGCAATATTCACCTCCTCTTTCAAAAATTTTTCATATTGCTCGTTGATGTATTTTTCAATAGGCTCCCAGCTGTTAAGGTGGGAGAGAGAGATGAATAGGTAGGTACAGATCTCCTCGTGTTCCTGCCTACAGCGTTCGTGGATCTGACAGCAGCAAAGTAGGCACAGGCATTAAAAAATATCCACCACAAGCGTCTCACCATGAGCAGAGATGTTTAAGAGTTTCTGTAACCGAGCACAGAAATAGGCGCTTGCTGTGTAATATGTGTATACCCCCGAGGGTGTACACAGACCCATAGTGTTCACAATTCCACATTCCCATTACTGACCCCCTGAGTGCAGTAGGATCCCAGACACTTTCCAGGCCAAGTAGATGAGAGTCACTCCATATATCATCTGAACTCCAGGCCCTTCTAGGGCACAAGACCTTGACCATGTAGAACTCACCAGTTTTCATTGTTGATCTGGTCCCCGAATCCCGGCGTGTCGATCACTGTCAGCTTCATTTTGACACCACCTTCTTCAATGACTGGGGAAGAAATTGCAAGCAATCATATGCCTTCCTGGGGACCTGCTCTATCATGAAATATGTCTCTGTGCCCTGCAAGGGAACAAGAGCGTGCTGCCCTCATCTCTGCCCAGCAAGCATGACCAGGCCAGGCTGGGTCATGCCTCAACAGTTGTGAGCCCCATGTGCATTTCTGACCCCAAATTTTGGTAACCTCTGCACCAAAATACCACTCTGACACAGGAAGATGGATTTGTGCTCAGTCTGTGGCCCAAAGGTGGTACCTACCTTACATAACTTGTCTTCCCCTTCAAGACATCATCCTGAATCTGAGGTGGTACTCATTACTCTGCACCACTGCAGGAGCTGTGTCGATGCTTTGCCACAAGATGTGCTCTACCAGGCTTGGGATGGGACCCACCAATGCAATTTGTATAGATTATTAAGTGTCTGTAGGTGGGAATGACTTAAAACAAGGTTTAATCCACACATGCAGACTAATGTCTCGGCAGAAGAGATATCTACAACACTTTTTGTACGCCTCACTTTTGGCTGTGGCATTGCTGTTTAAGAAAAGCCTTGGCTGAGTCTGAGACCAACTAAAACTGGAACTTGTCCTTTAGCTTCCCATGGAGAAAGGGCTGTCTAATACCAAAGAACTGTTTGCATAGACTACTGGGGTCTTCTGCAAGACTGTGGTGAAGCGTCAGTGTTGCCTCTACCCCAGTAGCCTGGCTCTTACCATGCCCGATGGCTTTTATCTCCACCGTCTTGGGGATCTTCTCCTCCCGGTTCCAGCCAGAAGATTTGCGGCTCACCTGGGATTTGAAAAGGGTGTTCACCAACGTTGACTTTCCCAGTCCACTCTGACCTGAGGATTGCAAAGAGGAAGCTTGTGACATCTGCCACAGGCTGGCGATGACAGCAGGCCCAGGGGATGGAGCCAAGCTGGCAGGAGAAGGGGCTGTAGGTGTCTCCTTGCCTTGTGCAGGCTCTCCTTTCCCCCAGAGCAAGCACTGTCTGCTCCCTCATGCCCACCCTGCAGGGCTCGCTCTCCCACTTGGCATCATAGGAGAGTCCCTGGCCATGGTTCCCAGTACCTCAGCTGGTCCCTGCCTACCTACAACCATGATGTTGAAGTCAAAACCTGTCTTCATGGTTTTCTTGCGCATCTGCTCAATGATGGTGTCAATACCGATGTAGCCCAGCAGGTTGGCGTTAATGCCCATGGGTTTCATCGGTACGATTGGTTTTTGTCGTGTCTCTGGGACCAGCTCGGACATGGCTGCTTCGTTTTTGCTCTCCACTGGCCCTGCATGGGGAGAAAGATTGAAAAATCATCACTGAAGTGTAATGAGGACTTCCTTGCTGACTTGTCACAGGGCCTGAGGATTCATTTTAAGGGCTACTGAGGATGACTGAACGGCAAGATTTTAGCAGTAAGGCTCTCTGTGGAGGAACATTTACTTGAGTATCTCATACACTCTTCTACGTATCACTCCAGATGAGGAGGTGAAGAAGTGGGGTTCGCTGAGCATTTGATGTATTGATGGCTACCTCTGAACAGCAGGAGCAGACCCAGTGAAGCCGTCTGGGCTCCTAATTGGATGCCCAAAGCTCTGTGTGTGTCTCCTCATTTTTATCTCCCAGTTCTCACCAGGATCACCAGTGTTTTGTCCCTCCAAGTTTAGCATGAAATTTGCGATGGAACAGACTTTCAAAAATTATCATGTGTCAAGTCCTGGCATTGAAAGAGAGTTTGAGATTTACTGTGAGGACTTGCAAGCTTGTCCCTTGCCAGAGGCGCCGGTGTTACTGGCTGAGCTGTGCAGGCAGAATTCCTCCAAGGAAGGCAGCGGTGGAAGTACAAAGCACGGCCACAAACTCTGTGCTTGCCTCCCACCTGCAGATCGATGGTTTTTGTCATGCTCAAGAAACCAATCATCATGATCAATAAACTAATCATCTGCACCTTTCCCTCCTCACCTCCCCCTCCTCACTTCTTCCATGTAAAACAAATGGTCAAAAAGAAGAGGCCTGTGGGCTTTCTGGCCTCCCTGGTTCTTTTCCAGGTGATGGCACACACTGCTTGGGGTGCATCTCATCCATCTATCTCCATCTCTTGTCTCGTTAGTGAGCAGCTCCCATCTGCTGGGAGGAATCCGAAGGTGGGGAGAGGACAGGGCATGGCAGAAAAGCTGTAATTGGTGGGGAAGGGAGACATGAGGGATAAATCTAGAAAGGAAGAGGATGGGAATCAAATACCTTTCATAAACAAACCAGCTGCATACTGGAGCCTCTCCCACTTTAATTACTCGACTCTCCCATGCTTTGTCTCATTAGATGGTTATTTTTCCAAGCCAGGGACATCATGTATTTTTGCTTGGTAAGCACTCCACTTGTTTTGGATGCCACTTCAGTTCAAGTATCTCACACTAAATTATCCCTTTCCATCATTTTGGCAGAGTTTTTCGCTTCTCTCAGCAGAACCTGCTGGCTTCAGAGGAGGACATGAACGGCCAGGCAGGCGGCTGCCATTTGGTGGGTGACACTTGCCTCCGGGAGAGGAAGACAACTCAGAGGTCACTGGGCTGGGGACACTGAGATCAACATTCTGGGGTCCCTGTGACAGCTCAGCCAGGCCAGGCAGAGAGTGGGGTTGTGGAGAGGTCAGAGAGATTTTGTTCAAGGACAGGGTTAGGCTGCAACAGGCTGCATGGCTGGCTGCTGACCCTGCCTAGCATTCCCACATCAAAGCTCCTGTGCAGACACAAGGGCTGCTCTACACAGTGAAGGTTTTACATTTTATATAAGCTTTAATATCCCACTATCGTGTGCTGAGGGCAGACCTTGCAGAAGGGCCACCCTTGGCAAGGAGAAGGGTGCCTCCACCCAGCTCCTCTTACACCGCTTGGGAAGTCTTATGTTAAATTGGGAGAAGGGATCTTCCCTCCATGTGAGAGGATGGTAGCACAGCCACCAGTACACAGCACTGTGGGTAACGTCTGAAGGTTCTTGTACCACCTCCATTCCACCTTGCACGCAGGGGAGAGGTCTGCCAGAGGATGGTCAACCCCTCTTGCGCTTCACCAAGGGCACTCTGAGCTATCATTATCCTCTCTGAAGTAGCAAGCAGCACCCTGGGGGGACCAGAGCACAAGATGGACCATTGGCTTGAGTCAGGATGGCAATTCAGAGCACCTAATGCTGCCGGGCAGCTGCCAGAGGAAGCAGCCTGCTGAGATGAGTGCTTCTCAGCTGCAACCCACTCTTATACCCATCACAGCTAGTCTGTGCCTTTCCTGCTGACAAATTATCCCCCGGGGCTCCTGTTGTCTTCTTCCAGCTTTCTCAAAGCTGCTGCCAGCCAGGGAAGCCCATGTCTCTGGCACAGTACAGAAGGCCAAGCCAGCCAGCTCTCCTGCACCCTGCCCTTCGCTCACACTCTCCCATTCTGCCCCATTGCCACCTGTACCATAGTCATGTGGCTGTGCCGTGCCCCTCATCCTGCTTGCAGCATCCTCCAGTGTGCAGTCCACACAGCCCTGCTGGGGTCCCACCCACCCCAAATTGAAGAAGAGGAGAAAGTGAGGCAGGGAATGATGAGTGGATGTGGGGCAGGGGGATGTGGCCCCAGTAAGGCACCTGGCTACTGCAGTGATGGAGGCAAATAAGCCCTGGAGGTGGAAAGGGAACAAGTTGAGGTGGGAAGAAAGCCCAGCTGAGCAGCTGTGTGGGATGGGTGCAGGACCTGAGCCATGTGGGCTGCGGCCCCTTTGCTGCCCAGGCAGTAGCTTGTCCTTAGGGAGTCTGTTGCCTGCTCTTTTATTCCTTCAGCTCCTTGTTCTTACACCGGGAAGAGGAAGGAGGGAAGTTGCTGGCAGCCAACCTCAGGGCTCACTAAGAGGTTCATAACTCATCCCTCCGTCTCACTGAGGGACGCTTTGCCCAGAGCCAGCAGATGTTGCTGACTGCTGTGGACATCACAATATGTGGTCATCCCTTTGCGGGCTTCGCTGCTGGAGCCAGGAGCTTGCGGTGGCTGGAGCAGATAGTTCATACTCAGGTTCCTGAGCACCTATAAAGAGTCCTGAGACCAGGAAAAAGGATCTCCAGAAGTGTCCTTAAATATTTCCTGGATTTTGCACCAGTGATATTCCCCTGGGAGTTTTGATTTTGGACATTGAAGGTCTTGGGGTAGACAACCTCCCTTTCTCCTCTTGGTCACTTGCCTTCCCCTCTGTGTGGGGTGTCTTCCTGTACAGCCTCAGGAAGGGAAGACCCCAGTTTGCAAAGAAGTACCCAAGGGCTCACCTTTCTGCATACAGTTTTCCACCTCTTGACTTCCACAGAGGAATCCAAGGAGCCAACTGAGCAACAGCCTGCCGGGGAAGTCAGGGTGCGCAAAAATGGAGCCGGAGCCATGAGAGGCACCTTGAGACATGAAATGTGTCTACTTGGTCTTCTGGGAATGTCTCTGTTTTATGTGCAGAAATGCTAATGCTGCCAGGAAGCCTCATTAGTGCTCTGACTGACTGGTCAGGGGGTAGCATTATGCATCCTAGGCACATCCCGTAGCCCCTCCAGCTGTCCCCTGTAATGAGTACATGATAGGGCACTACGGCCAGCACAGCTGATAATGAATAGAGGGTTAGCCAAGGTTAACCACTTACATCCGCTATTTGCATTGCCACCCTTTTCCCTGCTGCTTTGTTCTGTGTGCTAAGTGAAGCTCATTTAAGAGGGCAGTTGCTGGTGATATCCCTGCTGCCCAGTTCTCCAGGCTGGGCTGCTGGGGGATAATCTCTGGCTCGCAGGATATGCTCCACTTGGCTCCGGAGCAGGGAGAGGTGAAACATCAGGGGCCAGGGTAGGAAGGGTCAGAAGGGCAACGGGTGCCTGGAGAGGCCCCAGCAGCCCCAGCTAGCTCCTGCTTCTGACACCCACTGATCCACCCCAAAACCTCTCCCTGGAAGGCCAGCATACATGGCCAGCAGCAGACACCACAAGCGCAGCATGCCCTTCGCATCTGCCTGCTCTGACGTTCGCAGCAGCAAGCTGGGGACAGAATTGGCCCTGCAAGTCCCTTAGGGGCACAGGTAGTGGGGACTAATATCTACTCTGTCCGGATAACCCAGATACAGTCGCATCCCCTCCCCCTGCCTTCCTGTCCTTTGTCTGAGTGGCAAGAGGGAGGGAGGGCTGCAAACAGCCTCTCACCACAACGCAGCTTTCAGCAAGGAAAGGCTATTTAACCCCCACGTAACACATGGACGGCCTCGCTGTGGCTCTCCTCCCATGCAGCATGAAGCTGCTCCGCTCCGGCTGGCGGCAGCGGATCCACAGATGTGTCTCACCCCAGCCCCTTTCACTCACGTGGCCCCAGACCCATGGGCCCACTCCCTGCAGACACGGAGCGGGGAGGAGGAATGGGGATGGGTTGGGAGCCTGAAGACGGCTGGCAGGAGCCAGGAGGTGGGTGACACCAGGTCCTTAGGAAGGAAAGCAAGCAGCTGCTTCAGCAGCACAGCCTCCCTGGTGCTTGCAGGCATCAGGATCTGCTCCTTGCTTCATATTTGCAGAGGTGCTGGACTGAGCATCTCTCCGCTGGAAAAATCCCTTTCCCCTCCTCAGTTTTCATGATGACCCCAAGGCATTTCTCCCAGCTGTGCAAGGCAAAGGCCCAGCTGTGCCAGATGCACTGCCTGGCCTCAGGATCCAGAACAGAGCCATTCTTACCAGATCTTCTTGCCTGGCCTGAGGATCACCAGGCATTCTGAGTGAGGCAGGGAAACTTATCCCAGACCTTTGGGCTGCCGCAGCCTTCCTGGCAGCAACCTTCCTTCCCCTCAGTGCTCTGCAGAGGGCTTGGGCAGGAGCCCGGCTCTGCCAGGGCCGCAGTGAAATCTAGGGCGGTTTGTGCCGAAGCCTCTCTGGAGATGCAGGAGCTGGAGGTGAAGGGGCTGGGCAGGTCCCCAGCCCAGCCACCCCAGGATTAGATGCTCGCCTCAGCCCCGGCCATACCCTCGGTGCCGCTTGCCGGCCGTGCAGTCCTTACCCCATACCCCGGCCCACCGCCTGGGCGGCACGGCTGTATCGCGAGGCAAGAGGATGCTGAGCACCCCTGTACCAGGGTACCTGTGCCCACAGCTGCCTGTACCCCCCGCCTGCCCGCCCGCCCGCCGGTGCTGGGGCTCCCTGCCCACCCGCCAAGCTCCGGCGCAGATGCCCAGGGAGCAGCACAGGACATCCCTGCTGCCCCCGCAGCGGCTGCCTGTCACTGGCAAGGGACAAGCCAGTCGCCGAGCAGCTTGTGGGCTTTCCCCAGCCCTGGACCAGCTGGGATTATCCCTTTCTTTCAGAGCAGCCCCTGACGCCAGCTACTCCCCATCAGCACCACAACCAGCCCCACTCATTCTCCTTCATGCCAGACTGCTGCCACCAAAAGGAAAAAAAAAAGAGGAAAGACAAAGCGAGGACTGATTTCCCCTCTTTGCCCTTCGGGGTTATTCCTCCCCCGTGGCCAGAGTTGGGCAGCGTGGGGGCACGGCAGAGGGTGCCTGCACAAACAGCCCCAGCGGCGTCCCTCCGGCATCGCCCAGCCCTGCCAAGCCCAGAGCATCCTACCTTTGAACATGAAGCTTCCTTTGTCTCCGAATCCTCTCCCAAGGGGGTGGGTCTCCCCCCCACTTTTCTAGCCTGATGCTGGCGCAAGCACGGTGAGCTCCGAGGCTCCGCTTTTACCTCTCTCTTTCTTCCCTGTGTCCTCTTCTCCCCCCCCTCTCCTTCCCTCCTTCTCCAGTGGCTATTTCAGTGGAGCGGGGATGCTGGTGCTGCTCCTGCTGCCATCGTCATGTGACCTGAATATTAAACATCGCCGCAAAATCTCCCCCCGCGCACCCTCCCCCGGCTCCATCCCAGGCCCCCGCCAGCCTCCCCGCCTGGGGGGGCACGGCCAAAGGGGTGGAGGGGCCATCACCAATGGGCCCCCCCCGTGTCTCGGAGGGGCCCCCCTTGCACACCCACACAGCACAGGCCTTTTCTTGCCCCTTTCCCTCCTAATTTCCCAGTGTTTTCAGCATCTCTGCTTGTTTAAGGAGGGGGATATTTAACCCTTCGTGGCTTCGCTCCCACGGGGCTGAGAAAGGACGCTCTTTCCCCTTGGGTATTTATTGGATTCAGGGGATTGCAAGGCCTCCTCCTGCTTTCCCGGAGGGAGGAAATTTGGAATGTTTTGGCTCATCAAAAGCGATTTGCCCTTCAGCTCCGCTTGCGGAGGCGTGAGAAACCTTTTCTCCTCCGGCACCGCGATTCCTGGCTGTCAGCCCGCGGTGCAGAGGCAGAGCGAGCCCTGTCCCCTCTGTGTGTGTGTACACACATGTGTGCATGCATGTGCACGTGCATCTGCGTGCATGCATGGGAGGGGCAGGGCACGGTGCCGCCCGTGCTGGGTCACATCCCCGTGTGACCCAGCAGGCGTATGTCACCTGCACGTGTCTGGTGGACGTGCCCACACCTGGAGAACCATGTAGGTGCCCCTGGCTGCTGGCACCTTTGGAGAGGGATGCCCCTTCCTCCTTCTGCGTTTCCTTCTACGTTTGTGAGCCCTGGCCCCATCAGATTCCGCGTCCCCGCTGTGTCATGCTGGGGCGCGAACATCTGGGACCGCTCAGACCCTTCACTCGGTGGGACAATGGGAGCATCCTTTCAGGGATGTCCCCATGTATCCCTCCGGCATGGCAGCACCCCGGGTGGGGCCGGGCTGTGGGAGACCTGGCAGTCTCCGCAGAAGGTTTTGGGGCACCTCTTTTTGCAGCACCCCAGAGCAAAAAAGAAACTGCACCCACTGACGGTTGCGGCAGCCTTTAGAAATCACTGTCGGCAGTTACCCAAGCTAGGCGGAGCAGTCGAAAGGCTGGCTGCCTCCAGACAGACGGACGGACAGACGGGCATCCTGGCACCACCACCTGAGGTGGTGTGTGCAGCTGCCTGTTTCCCTGCCGGGTGCCCGGCTCACTGCCGCACGGGCTCACCTCCCGCCTGCCTCTGCCCACCCGCTCTCCTGGCATGGGTGGAGCGGGAATCGCTCCCAGGGGAGGAACCCTCCATCCTCCCCCCACGTCGCCCCGCCGCTCCCAAAGGGCCCTGCCCGATGCTGAGCCCCATGGCACCGCTGGGGGACCCCACGGTGCCTCCCTCCCCCCTGCCCAGCCCATCCCGGCAGCGCAGACCCACCGGAGCGTGGCGGGGAGCAGGGCACCCCCGTCTTCGTCGCCGGGGCGGCCTCGTCCCCACCAGGGCTGCCACGTCGCTGGGGCACCTCGGCTGCTGCGGGTCGGGGACGAGGGGGGACGGGGGTGACGGGGGCTGGCCCCCGCAGCCTCTCCCAGGGGGGGCCCCCGCCAGCCCGGCGCAGGGTGACCGAGAGGCAGCTCCGCTTTGTGGGGGTGCCGAGGAGACCGTCCCGCCGCGGTGGGGGGCCCGGGATGCGGCTGGGGCCGGTGGGGCCACCTGGGGCAGGCGGGCGGCTGCGGTGAGGGGTGACGTCCTCCTCCATGGCGGGTGGCGGCGGCTGGAAGCAGAGGTGCGAAGGCGGGGGGGGGGGGGGCAGGTGGTGCTGGGACGGGCTGGGGGGCTCAGGCCTTCGCCGCTGCTGGGGCCACAGCGTCCCGGGGCACAGAGCTCCCCGGAGCCGCTGGCGTCCACGGTCCCGAGCCCCCACGGGCAGCCCTGCTGGGCCGGCCAGCCTGCCTCTGGCCAGGACAATGGGGTGCCTGTGGCCTGCCCGGCGCGCTCCCACGCCTGGCGCCGCGGCCGCTCCTGCCTCCTGCCCTGGCGCCTTCCTGGCCCCCACCACTGGCAGCCCCACGCCACGGGCAGCCCCACGCCACGGGCAGCCCCACGCCACGGGCAGCCCCACGCTGCAGCCCCCCTGCCCTGCTCCCAGCGTGGGAGGTGGAGGAGCGGTGAAGACGCAACAGGTCAAGCCTGTGATGCCTGCTCCTGAGGACAATGTGTTCCATTTAAAAAAAAAAAAAAAAAAAAATCTCTGAATTTTTGAAATGTTTTCCCTTCCTCTCTCTCTTTTTTTTTTTTTTTTTTTTATCTCAAATGGCAGATTCCAATTCAACTATTTATGCCTTGTTGAGGAAGTTCAGTGTTCGCTTGTCAGGTTGTTTGTCCAGGTTGATGCTTCTTTTCCTTATTCTGATTTTCTTTTGCTTCTTTTTTATTCTGATTGTTTCTTAATTTTGCCAGCTTTGGGGCATTTTCAGGGTCAAGAGGGTACCCGTTACAGGGAGCCAACTTGGTGCTCTGCACATTCCTCACTATAAAAGAGACTTTGAAGGGCAATGCAATAACCAAGGAGGAAATGAGAAAGGTGTTTTGGTGGGGCGGGATGAGAATATGTGTGGTTTGATGGGCAAACGGGAGCAAAGAGAAGGAGGGCCGGGCACCTGTAGCACCCAGAGCATGGCAAGGGTGATGCTCGCCTGCCTTCGGGTGGCCAGGGCTGAGGGAACCACCGTGCCGTGACCCACAGCGAGCTATGGGGAGTGCTGGTCCAAGACAGGGCTCAGGGTGGTGTAACTTCTCTTCTTCTTTAAAGGCAAAGAGATAGAGAAGGTGGAAAAGACCAACCTGATGCTGTGCAGTATTTCCAGCACTAAGTATCTTCTCTGATCTGTGACTACTTCCCTCTCCCCTGAGGGCTGCACGGGTCCCACAGGGGAGAAACAGTCTCAGTTTTCAGGCAGCGTTTGCCTTTGGCTTAATTATTCCCAGATAGCCCTGCAGCATAGCCATCGCAGAAACCGGGCGGATGAAGACCTACCTGGCTGTAAAGGAGTCCTCGCTGCGGACTGGTCCTTGCTGCTTGCCTGGAGATGGAGGGAGGCAGCTCCCAGGGGGAACAACAGGAAAATACAGAGTTGGCCACGCAGCTTGTCACACACTTTTATTCCAATGGGGAGGACTTTGACACCATTGGCAATAAAGTCCCTCATACCCATGGAAAATACCTGGCTTAATACTGATTGCGTCAGGACTAAACAGCACAAAAGATAAGCCAGGGGAGATGAATAAGTAGTTTCTCTCTAGTCCAGCCCTGACCTGTTTGTCATCTTTTCTCTCAGTTTCTGTGGCATGTCGTGGGCAGAGTGGAGTTGAAAACAGGCAGGACAATGTGCAGAAGAGGACACAGAGGAGCGGGGACCCCCACGGGGAACCCCATCGCACCACAGCTGGCTGAGAGCACAAGTGGCAGACCCAGCCTTTCGTTTTTATCAGGCTGGTGGTTTTCCCTCTTCTCTTTTGACTCGGGAGACAAAAGTGGGTTTGGAGGTGGTGAGATGGCTGAGCAGCCTGTGCTGGTGCAGGCTGCGGGGACCAGGCTCCCCTTCCCACAGTCTAACTTGTCCCTGACTGCTCCAACCCCCTCAGCTCCAGGACAGAGGTTTTTATTGATACCCCATGGCTCAGCTGGGGTCTGCTCGCAGTGCAGTCCCAGCTCTGAGGAAGTTGAGGTGAAGAAGCTAGTTTCCATGCTGGCACTTGGAGATATGGCTGTGTTGTGCTGGAAGGCAGGGGATGTGAGCCATGCAGCTGAGGGTGGCATGTCAGACCAGGCAGCCCAGCCCCGCAGCATTTCCCTCTCACAGCCCCAAGTCACCAAGGCACAAAAATACGTGGGATTTACCTGTTCCAGGCTGCACCTGCGCTTCGAGCTGTTGCTTGCCAGGGAGAGCATAACTTTGACATAGGAGTAATCCCACTCACTGCATTTCCCTGCCAATTGAGACTCCCCAGTTAGGGTAGTCACATCATAATCTCTGTTTTTTGGCTGAATGGAAGGACTCTTGACTTGTTTCTGGCTGAAACAGAGCCAGAAAGCTCCTGCCAGTGTGCCTGGTTTTGGTGTGGAAGATAATGGTGATATGATTGCAATCCGATGGATGAAATGTCCCAGAAAGACCCAGTATACTTGCAGGATGTCCTGACCCATTTCTTTCTCAGCCAAAACCCTTAGAGCTAAGAATTAACTTTCATCCCCAGAGAATTATCAATGGAGCATCACTCATTCAAACCAGCCCAGTGCACTCTCCTCCTTTCTTTGGGAACGGAGGAAGAAACTTCTGCTGACAGTTTCACAGGAGTGGCTGAGCGACACGAGCCCAAACAGGATCTGTGGCAGATTTGCACAGCCGTCCCAAGGCATTCCTGCTGCCCAGAGGAGCTGTTGGGGACTATGGCACAGAGCCAGCATCCCACGAGCACAGTGGGGATGTGGGTCACCCCAATGCTGGCAGGCCCAGGTGTCAGCACAGGATGTGCAGACACATCCACCGGCTGACATCCCCTGGGATGTGCGGGAGTGGGGCACACAGGAACCCGTGGTGTCCAGAGCACTCACAGGTAGCACTGCCCAAAGGGTGGGTGCTGGGATGGGAGGAGAGGCTCTTGATGAAATCTGTCATCAATTCAGAGCTCCTCTGAGCCTCCCTGTACACACCAGACATTGCACTGGGCTGGCAAGGAAGGGGAAGATGTGAGTGTCCCTCTTAGACCCAGCATCACACCTTCATAGAGCACTTTGGTATCTGATCAGCCCCAGGGCAGTGCAAAAAGTGCAGATTGTCTATAAACATGGGATTTTGTGCCAGACCCCCATTACACAGCTTTGGTCCAGAAAGCAGAGGTGGTGCAGCAGGCCCATTTCACCAACAAGCTCAATGTCCTTTCTCAGAGACATGCAGGGAAAGCGGGTCGAGGGATGCTTCACAACTTTTGTTGGGGTGACAGTCAAGGGAGAGCCCATCCATGCCATAGGACAGGGAACTGAACAAGTGCAAGCTACTTCCCAGACTATCCCATCTCTGCAGCAGATGATCAGGTCAGGCAGATCAGGAGAGGCTTATGTGATAAGTCTGGCAGCACCATTTCATGGAAAGATGCAGAATATTCTCAGCTTGACACAGGACTTGGACAAACCTTGTTAGCAAAGATCTTTAATTTGAATGTAGTGCATCTGGAATGGATGGATGGGTGGATGGGTGTTCTCCATCTCCCAAACAAACACAGAGAAGTGGTGTGCCTTTAGCAGGGATAAAGGCATTCAGTCTCTGGGGCTTGCTGAGAACTTGGCCCCTCCACACAGAGCTTCAGCAAGCTTACCATCTCAGCACCAAGGGTGGGTGTTGTGAAGAGCTCAGCTGAAGCAATGATCTGGGTTAATTTTCCCATTTGTTTCCCCCAAAATACCCCCTGGACTTAAAGAGACATAGTTAGATTTAACCCAGTGAACAGAATTCAAAAGCTCAGTATCCCTTTGCAAGCCTGGTATCCCTGCAGAGACCTTTCCTACTGAAGGTCACATCAAGATGCCAGGCAACTCAAACTCGAGTGATTAACAAGGGAACTTTCATTTGAGCGATTCATCCATCTTGGCCATGGGGAGGAGCAGAAGTCCTTGGCTGGGTGAAGGGCTGTGAGTGCGTGGGAAGCCCCAAGTCCACAGTGCCACACAAACCTTGCCTAAAAAGCAAAGGGGGCTGAAAGGTGAGTGGTGAGTACGAGACTCAGATCAACAAAGAGCAAAGTGATGATCAGCCCATTTGTGCAGTACAGGACTGTCATCCCTACCGAGGCCTGTGGACTGCTGCCCATCCAGGAGAGGCTCTTCTGGACTCGATGGGCAGCGTGTCAGACCTCGGGCACCCCAAAGGCCAGGTTGTCCCAAATCATCAGTGTCTTCCGAAGGTCTCGATCCATGATCGGCCTCTGTGTTCGCCACTTATGGGCTTCCTGGAGTCCTGGCTCAAAGTAGTAAATACAAGCTCCAAAGCCCACCAGGATGAGGATGGAGATCATCAGATACACCGGCACAAACCAATCCAAGAAGTGGGGCATGGCTGCCAGAGAAAAGGGAAGAAAGCTTGTGCAGTGGGAGCACCCAAAAACCACTTCCAGTGAGCTTCTTCGTGAGACATCTGCCCCACCAGAAGTGCCCAGCCTCCCTGCACCCCTCCTCACAGCCCTGCCACACCCCTGTTTGTGCTTGGTTGCACACCAAGGCACCTCAGTCTTCAGAAGACGATCCCTTTGGCTGTCGTTGCTGGGACCCCCTCACTGAGCTGCAGTCCTCCAGACCTGCTGCCAGTGATTAAAGGTAGGCAGTGGGTAAATACAGCTGCTTCTCATCTCCCAGTTGGATGAAAACCTGCTGCCACTTCCCCTGATGCTCCACGACCCCTTTGAATTTCCAGTCTGAGCTGGTCCAGCTCGGGGCTGAGCCCTCCCTTCCTGCAACACTATTTAGTGTCCTGCTTTGCCGGGGTTCAGGGACCTTGCTGTGCCCGATTCAGCACTGGTCTCTGAGCAGAGCCCAGATCCCCCTCTGGGGAGCGGGACCACTTACCGGGAGCAGCCGATCTGCCTTGCCAGGACCCCCTCACCACCCAGGTGCCAAGTCTGGAGCAGCGCTGCCCTGGGGAACACAAAACAACGTGTTGCACAATCGCTGTCGACTCAGCACTAAGAATGAGCGAGCACGAAGGAGCAAACATCT